ATGTGCTGATGGGCTGTAGTTCCACATTTCAGAACAAGCTGTCCAATATTCATGAGTTATTTTGTATTTACCCAGTCCTGAGGCTTCTTTTATAAGCCTGGGGATAAATTCTGTTTTTTGTTATTTCCATTACTGGAAATGGACTGAACCTCCATAACCATTACCAAGCCCTAAATCCGGCCTCTATTTATCTAGAAGGAAGGTAGGGAAAAGGACTGTCACAAAGCTGAATTGATTTACAAATCTGTAATTCCCAAACCCCTGTTCTGATAACACTTGTAAGCAAGTGTTGGAGCAAGCCATATGTGTAGGGATGAATCACTTATAAAATGATATCCTAATATTAGTTGTATATTTATTTATCAGATAAATATAGTGATTTTCCACTTGAAGATCAGATGCTCAGCTGGCATAAAGCACTGCAGCTCTTTGGGCTACGCAAACCTAAGGATATGACTGAACAACTGATTTCTTTGTAAAGAAAAAACCCAGTATCAACTACTTGTTTCTAAAGTGATTTAAATTATTATGCAGGAAAAAATAAAAGACATCAAAATGTTGGTATAAGATATCCTGCATGTAAGTTAGAGCTATGTATAGTAAGGTCATTTCGCCCCAGCATGAGAATTTCCCATCATAAACCTCCAGCTGGTTGGGCCATATTAAAATCCCTTCACATTCATTCCAAGGCTGAGTTAAAACTGGAAAGATAGTATCTAGGAGGACAACTTTAGGTCTTCTCGAAACAGCTGGACCAAGTACTGTAGCAAAGTGAAAGGTTAAGCTAGTCAATGTTCTAAGATTACTGCATTGTAACATAGGGACTTCAAACTTTTTCACCCAGCAGTAGAGAAAATAGTCTGAAGGCATCTTTGGAGTGGATTAGTTTTGAAATCATGCTAAGCCACTCTTCTGCAAGAATTTATTTTAAACGGCTCAAATGCTTAACTTCTTGAATTGGCAGCTGAGCATGTTCTCTGGTTACTCTTAGTAACATTCATATTCAGACAAGCTCACAGGAAAGTACCTGGCAGTATCTGGGTCTGTTCTCCTTAACGTGAGGAATCCTGGCTATGGTCAGCCTTATCGGAACAAAAATGTTCAGGGTGTTTGCTCTTGGGCTCTTCACCAGGTGAGATACCAGCCACCATGATTCATCGGCGGTTGAATGGAAAAGCTGATCTCAATAGGAGGGAGTCGTGTTTGCAGCCTGTTTGGAGAAAAGCTGGGAAAATGCTGCTTTCTTATGCACCATTCTGGTGTCTCAGTAGCTTTTTTCAGCAGAGACGTCTGGAAACATGAATATGGATCCAAGTAGCTCTTTGGCTTAGTGGTGCGTACAACCCTTTCCCCTGTGGAGCTCCTGCATCATACTGGTTTTCAGGGAAGAGCTATTCCCTGCCTGAAGATCATCCTTGTGCAAGTGGGGCGGGTTTGTGCCTGTGCCAGAGAAGTATGGCTAAAACCTGCACAGGACCTGCCTGCCTCTCTCCCTCTGGGGCAGGGCTCAAATGGTCTTTTTTCTGTAATTACAGCTTCTCACTGTTGCAGCACCAGCGTGTGCGCAAGGGAGCAGAGTTCAGCTGCCTCGGCAGCCTTCATCCTGGCAATTCCTAAGCGGTTCCCCTGCAGCCTTAGCACAGGTGTAATAAATGTATGCAGGATAAATAAACTGAATAAATATCAGGCTCTTTCCTCAGCCTGCGCTTAGGAGCACGTACGTCCTTTAGAAACCCATGCATGGGTCTGTGCCCTTTGCTCTGGATAGAACTGCCGGTGCAGTTTGGGGTTTTGGCAAAAAACTTTGTCATCGCCTGTCCAAAGAAAGCACCGAGATCCTCATGGTTAATGGTTTAATCTCCCCGGCTGGAAGCACCCTCCCCAAAACAGGATGTTTTTTTTGTTGCAGAAGCTTCCTACCAAAAGAGCTGCGGAGCAAATGTTTTGGATGTTTATAGCACATCAACCCCATTAAACACAAAGTTCCCGGAAATATGCGTGTGCTGGCAGTAGCAGAGTCCTTTATTTTCATTATCTGAAGTATCCATCAGAGAAAGACTACTTCAGAATGCTTTTTTTTTTTTCTTCTTCTTATAGCATCATCTAAAGTGAACATATTCAGCAGAAAAGCAGTCAGAGAGCTGGTCTGTGACAAGAGGGCTGGACGGGTGTCCGTCTCCAAGGAGGGTAGAGAAATTCAGTAAGCAGAAGAGCCAGCAGTCAGCTTTGTAGCTCCCATCTTGCTCCCACGACTTCCTGAGGATGCTCAGATGTCTCTGCTCCTCGAGGAGGGAGCAAACCCACTGCTTTCACTGTGCTCTCCCAATGCCTGGGAAGGTCATCGCTGGCCCACCCCATCTGCTCCCCAGCAGCTCTTCTGGCATCTGCTGCTGTCCCTGTGGCACAGGGTCATGCTGCAAAGGCCAGACACCTTCCCTTCCTTGTGGGCAGGGGGAGGATTGGGCTCTCCCCCTAAATTTGTCTGTCTTCACCTGGCCAAACCCCCTTTCAGTGCCCTTTCAGCACTTTCTTTGACACTGGTCCTTCTAACGTGGAATTCAGTTCTCAGATGAATGAAGGAGTCTTGTTAATTATCCAGACATTTTTCCCATACCCTAATTTTTCCCCTATAAACATGTGGTTGTCTTCACTGGCTCTATAGGAGCCGCAGTACCCAACAAGGCGGTCGCAGAGATGCGGAGGCGAATATTACACCTGTAATTCTCAAATACTGGCTGTGCTGATGTTTAGTAATTTAGTAGCGGATGATACCAGGCATTTTAGGCAGGATCACCTAAAAAGAGCCATCGCAGCAGACCTCTGGCTAGCATCTCTCTCTGCCAGCCAGAAATGAGCTGAGTGTCTCCTTTCCAAAATCCTTGACACAACTCACAAGAAAAGCCACAGGCACGGGAGCCGATTTGTCGCATAAATGTAGAGCAGCAAGAAGACACTGATTGCTGTAATCAGGAATAATCTAATTCCTAAGGGCAAATTGGGTGTATTTATTTCTGTTTAATTGGATTCCTGCATTTTGTGGACCCGCCACGTGGGCAGAGGAGCCACCATGCTGCGATCCGGAGGCAGCAGAGCAATACTGGAGCTGTAGAGGGTCTCAGCTCTTGTTTACCTAACGTGGGACTAAACTGTTAGTTCTTGATTTAGTCTGCCTGACTTTGATGTAATTACTGTTCGGAGGACCACCAAATCATCTGCTAGAAAATCAGGGTGAAATTGGGCTGATTTGCTGGGGGAAAACCATTCGTCCTCTCTCTGAAAGCAAAGTTGCTGGGACAGAAGCTCAGATGTGAGAGGGTGGATCCATCAAAGGATTTATGCCCTTAACCCCCTACATTCTGGTGGTGTGGGGGCAAGCAGAAGCATCCACGTGTCCACGAGCTGCTCCCGCGCGGGCTGGCATCAGAGGGTGGCGAGGGCGCGGGCAGCTGCCTGCAGCGGCCAGGCAGGGCTGCCAACGCCTGGAAGAAGCACAAGTGATGCACACGCTGGGAGCAGGAGCTGGGATCCAAACCCCCTCGTTTTTCTCAGCTACGGCCCATTGCTGCTGCTGTTCATGTGCCGTGGGACCCGCAGAGGGACACTGCAGCCCCAGAGCTGGTTTTTCTGCTTTCTAGCCCAATTTGTCTGCTTCTGTTTATTTTTGATGTGGGAGACAATGCAGCCTTTCTAAGAACACAAACCTTTCTGGCATATCTCACGGGTCCAGGCTTCAGATGAAACCTGATGGGAGCTGATAGCCCTTTAAATTTCTTCCGTGGTTGCGAGGACAGGAATTTGCAACATCAACAATCCTTTCTTTGCAGGAATTTTTCTTCTCTTAACCTTTTATTTTTTCCCTAAAACCTGGTGTGAGCCCCATCCTGCTCCCAAGAACTAGATTTGTGACTGACCTTTTGAGGATTCACGGATTACGCTTCAGGAGTGCACATAGCGTCAAGTGACATTCATTTGCTGTTGTAAAACCCATCATGAATTAACGTTTGTCTTGTATTGTATAAACACACCCTCAGAGTGCTTCCTACAGCAGGATGGGGAGCTGTGCAGAGTCATTTCCCTGGGTATTGAATTGTTATGGTGAAACTTCCTTAATTAGAAAGCAAGTTCGTCTCTTAAGGGCTAGCTGAATTTGGACCAAAGGGCAGACAGGTCAGTGTATTTCTAATATTGGTGGAGCTGTGCTTATGTACACAAGGGTTGAGTTTCCCCACTAAGGCAGGAAAGCTCTTGCTGTGGGCTCCAACTTTTGATCTAGGGAGTTCAATTCAGGGTAGAGACCTCACAGAGTAAGAAAAAAACAGCATTTGAAGCCTAACAGCTACCCTGAGCCAGGCAGGAGGTCTCTGCTAAAATGGGCCATGTTGAAATATTCACAGTTTAATAATAACTGGCTTTCAGTTAACACCTCCCGAGAGGCTGAATGGATGCATTTTACAGCTGTGGCTCACAAACTAGTTTCCACGTGAAATCTCGATCAGAAAGGCACAGAGACATTTTCTGTTAAAAAGCTTTTAAAGTCTTCAGAGCCTGCTCAGCCCATAAAAGCTGGGCTGGACTGAAGCTCAGTGGGACCTTAGGGGTACCCCAGTGAGAGCAGGATTCCCGTCACCGAGCCCCTGCCTGGGGGACGCTGCCTGACCCTCCGACCCTTGCTTTGCCACCCTTCTCCTCGCTGCCGATCCCGGGCTGGGCGGCCTTGGGTCGGACATCCTCATTATTTTAAGCTGTCCTGGCTCTCCCAGCATTTCAAAGACCTCTGAGATCTTGCAGTGTTTAAAACCCTGGTGCCACAAAGCCAGAAAACCCCGCGCAGCTGATGCAAGGTGCAAGGGGCTGTCCCTGCTGCCTGCCACCCCCACGCTCTCCATCCCACCCACCCCGGCCATCCTTCTTTGGGTTTTTTTTTTTTCTTTTTTTTTTTTCCTTTCCTTTGCCAGATCATTTCCCTGCTTGATCATTTCCCTGCTCTGAGTCACCCCATGCCAGGACTGCTTTCTTGTGCTGGCGGATGGAGATGCGGCGCAAGCCTCCCTCCTTCCCAGCCCATGGGGAAGTGTCACCCTCCGAAGAGTGAATGAAGGGGGTGAGAAATGACATGCAAATGCCTTCCCTGTAGGCTACAGAAAATTCACTTCTTTGCACCTTTCCGAAGACTGGTATTTACATACTATTAGACGCTGACATCCTGTTGAACTTTCTTAGAGCATGTGATTTGCAGACACGCTCATTTGAGGATTTAGATTTTATTGACTGAAGGTTGCTTGGCAGAGAAGAAAATGAGCTGACTGGGGAAGTGAAGGCTCACACAGCGGGTCGAGAAGGGCCCTTCTGTGCGAGAGAGACAAGGGAATAATTTGGCTTCAGCTCTGAGGTAGGAATTCTTCCCTCTACCTGTTTTCTCTGTCCTCTTGGCATCCTGTGGAGGTGTTTAAAAACAAACAAAAAAAAGCAATAAAAGGCTTTTGGTTCTCATAATATCTGTTTGTGTGACAGCTTCCCGCTGAGTGGGAGCTGGGAGAGTCTTAGAAAGTTACCACCACACTGTCCATGTTGCTGGGTAACAGTTTCTGCTTCTCACATGACCCCCAAATCATAATAATCGTAATAATTGCATCCCAAAATGCTGAATGATGCTGGAATCGCTGGTAGGTGGATGTGCTGCCTCTGTCCGAGCGTGTGGGCGCTGGAGCAGGGAGCGGGGGGCCCTCCAGACCCGCCTTACACCCCGTCAGGATATTCGTGGGATCCGGACCCGAGTCCCGTTCCTTTCCGGCTGGGTCAGGGCACCTCGCTGGCTCCCGTGGGTCTGCTAAGGACAGCGGGGATGAAGCTCTGGTGAGATCAGGGTGAAGCGTTTGCAGCCCCATTTGCTGCAGTGCAGCTGGGAGCCAGCACCCTCTGCATGGGGCAAGTGCTGGCTACCACCCGGCATCCCTCCAACCCGAAATCCGCCGTGCCTCCGAAGGCTGGTGGTAGCATACGAGGATGCCGCAGGGCTCGTACCCACCGTGGAAAGCTTTTTAAATTGGTTCAGCTGATTTGGCACTCAGACAGATAGGGAAGGCTGGCACCTTGCTTCTGGCCAGGTCTCCCCAGTGGCAGTGGCCGTTCCCAAAGCGAAGGTCTGACAGCTGCACCAGCCTGATTTAAACCTGGCTTCCCGGGTTAAGGTAACTTGGTTATTGAGTGTCTTCAGACAGTGTTACTGGTGTAACAAAGAGTGGTTTTAAACCCATTTAAAGCTAAGCTAGTGCAACCTTTAAATACAAATAAGGCTTTAGGTGCCACTGAAGATCCTAACATAAACATCCTTGAGCATCAAACTTGAGCTTGATTTGCATGTAGTACCTATAGCAGCCTGATGATTTATTTACTTGTTTATTTACTGGCAAGGAAGAAGGCACCAGTGATTATATTTACCAGCATGGTTAATCCTGGTGTAACCCCACCACTGCCACTACATGTTGAATGGACACATTTACCCCTTGTGCAGGGCATCACACGATACCATAGCTTGTATTTGCCCAGCAGAGAGGAGCTGTGCTGGCACACAGCATCCTATTAGTGTTAGATGATAGGACTGAAGCAGGACAACGTGTTTTTCCTTTCTTTGTAAAAGAATAAGCTGTACTGGCAAAATACATATACATTTATACCAGTATGGTCCTTTTTGTCTGTGCACTGAAGTCCTTTTCTGGGAGTTCTCTGCCAGAAGAAGCCCTTGCCAGCCCCGTGCCACCCCCAGCCAGCACGTGGATGGCACAGCTCCTGCCCGCTGGCCGCAGCGGGCTGCGTGTCCGTGCTCCCTCATTTGCTAAAGACAAAACACTGCCCGTAACGGTGCGGTGCCTCTGAGGACACAGCCGACCCGGGCTGCTTTGCGAGAGCTCCTATTTGCCTCACACGGGGGCTGTGCCAAAGCAAAGCGTAGTGTGCCAGAGATTTCATGAACTTCTTCAGTAATGCCGAGCAAGATTAGGCCTCATTCCAAGACCTTTTAATTTTTTAAGCATGAATGACTCATTCTGGCCTCTGATACTGGGGAGATCAAGAATACATAGATCTGAAGGCAACTGAGGCTACTGGCTATGGCAGAAAAAGGATGGAGCAGCAGTTGGTTTGCGTGCTGAGGCAGGGTCTGGCGAGCAAACCGTGCTTTTTGTGTGCATGCCTCAATTTCCCACCATACCCTTACCATCAGCTTCCCTGGGAGACTGAGCATGCTGCCGGTTCCTACCAACGCTAATGGGCCCACACCAAGGGGTCAGGTTGGTTTATAAAATAGAGATTTGTGAGTCCCCCCCAACACTTCTTTTGGTGCATGGGAAGATGATTTCATTAGCCTGTATGTACGCCAGCTGTTCATAGGCTGCACAGGAGAACACAATAGTACAAATGAAAGCAACAGGAGAGGAGGAACAAACCCATCATGCTTCCTGAAGTGCTTTTGGAAAGCACAAAGCCAGGATGTTGTTTCTTTTTAGTGACTGAGTAGTCTGACATGTTGCAAAATACAAAGGCTCGGCATATTCCCAGCGGCAGAGTGGAAACTGGAACTATCCAGAAGCAAAACCTATCATTAGCAGTCAGCCAGGTAGAACGGGCTCCTGAGTGCCAGGAACTGGCATGGAAGGGAGGAGGGGCTGAGCAGCAAAAAAGAGCTTTTCTTAAGGGCCAGCGGTGTGCCCAAGCAGCCTTGTGGAGGGAAGCGGTCGGCTGTGAGGGCAGCACTTCGGGTCGGGATGCTCTCAGACTTCTTCAAAGGGCAGCAAGGAGCTGCTGTTCCCCCTCATGCCCCCCTGTCCTGCAGCATGGGCAGTGGGTCTGCTCCCAAAAAATCAGAATGGTTTTGACCTGTAATTTTTCTCCCTTTTGTTTTCACTCAATCATATTTAGTTGCCCTGAGAAAGCTCTTCTGACATGTCCTCCCAGGTCCTTGCTGTGATCCATGTCATCCTGGAGGCATGTAATAATTTAGACTGAAAGCTGTGCTGTGCAGCTCTGTTCTACACAGCATCACAGGATGGAGAAAGTATTGATGTGCCCTGATTTATCTCCCACAGATGTCATCTCCCTAGGAGCTGCCTTGAAGGACAGAGGGGCACAGAAAACTGAATCTGGGAAGCACCTGATTCAAAAAGAAAGGAGGAGGAAATTTTATGAACTGGGTTGGATGGATGCAGGGAACATCACAGCTTTGCAAACCCAATGATCCGAAAAGATAGCACCACAAACCATAACGTTGCTGTAGCTGGGTGCAAGCGGACAAGCCTTTATGATGCCTTTATGTTTCCCAAAGGAATCTCTTCAAATTAAGAGTATTTTTGCATTGATGCTTCTTTAGTTGTCATTCCCCGACAGGCCTAACCAACCTCTGAGGGTGAGAAGTAAGATGAGGGGAGGGTTGCACGTATCACGGTGAACATTGTGGGCTGTGGGTGTCCCCACAGCAGCAAGCACAAGATGCTCCATCAGGATGTGCCCTAGGGAGCAGCACCCAGCACCGATGCCGAGCGCGATGGGAGGGCAGACCACGGGTGCTGCAGGCACAGTCGGACGCAGAGGCTGGGGACATTGCTTCCACCATCGCAGCCTCCTCTATGGCCTGGGCAGCAAAAAGCAAAGCTCCCCATGCCCTTCTACTGGCAGGTGGCGAGACGTATTCAGCCTTTCAAGTCTAGCGCCTTGTCTCTTTTTGTCAGGGGACTTTCCTTCCCTCAGCCAGCACAGTCTAAATGGCCTCTGTGAGACAGCCAGATAGATGCATTCCATTTTAATCCCTTATCTGTCTCACTCTGCTGAGATCATTTACCTGCTAATAAGCTCCTGTGGTCAGAGATAAAAGGCGAAACTACCAGCCCTTTAAGGATGATGCTTTGCAACACTGTGCTTCATGGAAAATATGGAAAGATGTTGCATTCATAATATATCACTCATATCTGTGTTTGTAAACAGATTTATCACACCATCTGCAGAATTGTACTGCAGTCTCCTCCATATTTATTTCCTTTCCATTTATATAGTACAGCTCCTATTTATTTTATTCCCTTTTTACGGTTAGATACATTAGCCATCTTCTTTTCTTCCCTACAGAAAGAGTGCACTCTCTGTGGGGGAGAGTATTTAATCAATCCAATTTGTTCAGCTTAGTCCATAAAAACACAAGCCAGTACTGTTTGGAGAGGTACCTGCCTGGGTTTGTTTCTCATCTCTTCACATCTGTGCAGAGCAGGTGGGGAGGAAAGGATAATTCAGAACAAATCCACGGGTAAACAGGATGCTCTGTCAGTATTTCCTTTCTGCTGTTGCACTGGTTGAGTGTAATTTTCAGAAATCAGCTAAGCCTAAGGTCAATAATGCTATTATAATCTCTCTGACCTTCTGTAGCTGATACGATATCTAATGAAGTATTTCTACAACTGGGAGCAAAAAGCCAGCCTGCTTTGTTATCTGGTTTGATAAGAAACCTCTAGTCACACGCAAATGAAAAAAGTGATTCACTGAGCATAAAAAGAAGTCACACTGAGAGAAAGGGAAGCTTGTGGTCGGCAGCCACTTCTGCAGCCCCTCGGCTGAGCAGCACGAGCCCCGGCACAGCTCCAGGCAGGGCAGAGCCCGGACATGAGCCGGGGGGACCGTCCTCCTCCAACGGCTGCTCCTGCAGCAGGACCACGAGGCTCTTCCATGCACACAAGGCCCAAAACCAGATTCTTCTGCTTGGGACACCCTTTCACTTTGGGGAGAGGAAAGAGTCTGGGTTACAGCAGAGCCAAGAGGAGGGACGAGTCCCAGGCAGTGAGCCAGGGCTTGGCCACCGCTGCCAGCGCTGGGATTTGTCCCCATCCCCTGTGCAGAAGTAGAAAATCCAGGACAGTCGGTTCCTCCTCCCAGGTGGGAGGCTGAGGGACCTTGGGTCTTTGCGGAAGCCACCGAAGGACGGGGCTGGGCAGGATGAGCTGTGCTGCACCCTGGATGGATGGTCCTCAGCACTGCCCCACGCTGAAAGTCTGGCCTTGACCCCGGGCACTGGAAGAGGACTGCTGGGCTCGATGCACAGCACGGGGAAGGATTTGACCGCAGCTCCTTAGAAGCACCGCTCCAGCCCCATGACTGTGAATTTGCTGCAGGGAGAGGTGTAGGACACGGACCCATAGCCAGGGCTGTGACCCTGGGGGCAGGACACTTTTGCTCCTCTCCCTCTGTGGAGGGAGGATTTCTTTTCTTTGCATTGAGCCTAACCCAAATTCCTGGGCTTCGGTACAGAGGAGCGACTGGGGGTGACTAACTCCAACAAGAATTTTACCAAGAATGAGTCAGGGCTCTGGGCTGCAGACAGTGATGACAAATCTCAGAAATTCAAGCCTGTACTTTGGCAGGAGGGATTGCCGTTTGGGTTTTGGGGGTTTTTATATGGTCCTTTTTATGATTTTTTCAGCTGTACAGTGTGTTCTCAGATGGTATATTTGCAACTTCATGTTTTTCAATCGTGACCATCATTTTTTCAGATAACAGAACAGTGAACAACTGGGCGCTTGGCCAGCTCTTTCCCCACTGAAGCAAAGGGAAACTCTGCAAGAGGGTTTCTCCAGAGCTTTCTAAAAGAATTTTCTGTGACCCTATCCCGCTAACAACCCCACCTTCTGACCCTTACTCAACATAGCCGTTGATGCTGTGAGCTGTGAGCTGAATGCTCCTGCCAGAGAGTCCCACCATCACCTTTTCCCATGAGAATTGTTCGGGATCTCTCAAATATCCCATCCCATCACACTTTGCATCTTTCCAAGAGGCATGTTTAGGCCTATAATATCATGCCTGCCACAAATTGGTGAGCAAACTTCTTGGCTGTGTATTTGCCAAGGGGTGACTGGCAAAATGAAACTTTTGGGTAAACCAGAAGCCATGTGGCTCTGCTGCGGAAAAGCAGCCAGGACCTTTGTCAACAGTACAGTCCCCAGGAAAAATCACAAGGCAGGCTTTAAAATAACGAGATTATTTCCAACCATTGTAAATGGTCCATCTTTTATCTTGGCTTTCTGGCAAATAAAACCTTTCAGAGATGTCTCAGTTTAGATTTTTCAAGCCTTTTCCTGACACGCTGCAGGGCTAGAAACCCTTGTGCTGTAGCTGGTAAGGGAAAGAGAGACTCTCCCATATCTCCTTCGATCCTGCAGGAGCTGGGGTTTGGGAGCCAACTGGCCCCCAGGTTATTTTGAGCCCCGTGTGGGCCCAGGGAAGCAGAGGTCCCAGTGGCGTGGCAGGGAGGGGAGCTAGCGTTAGTGGCTGGCTTTGGGTCCAGCAGGTTTATTCCCCTTTTGTGAGACAAACTGTCCTCTCTGGGAGCAATTCAGCTTTAAACCGATTGCATTCAGCTTTGTAAAGGCCTTGCATTGTACAACTTAATCACTGTGGGACTGAAAAATAATAATCCTGCCTAAAACCAGAAAATTTGGCTTTGCTATTTCTCTGTGCTGAATCAGCTCCTCACTCTCCTTGCTGCTAACAGCATGGCAGAGACAGGCCATGTCCTCCAGAGAGATGGGCCTTGAAGAGATGCTCTGCATCTCCAAAAAGGCGCACTGCTGTTTCCATAGCCTCCTGCTGCTGCCCCTTCGCTTGCAACCTGTCAGGCTCTCACGTTATCACACGCAAGCAGCACGTTTTGCAAACATATTTGCTATTACAGCAGACAGGAAAAGATTAAGTGAGTGTTATAAAACTAACCTCTGCATCAGTCAAAAGAAACAAAAGCAAAAAATAACAAGGTAATCAGATGCTCTTATGAGCAGGATATGCTCAAAATTACTTCTCCATCTCATTACAAATGCTTAGAAACTGCACAGCCTCTCCAGTGCAGTGAGATTTTAAACTGGATAATGGGCATAAGTAGCTCAGAGCTGTTAATGCGACTTCCAACCTTATCCTTTTGCTGCATGAAAATAGGTAGTAGCTATTGACTGGTGTAAATTGGCTACTTTTAAAGCTGTATTTGCTGGCTTAGATGTGCTAAGATTCTCTCTACAATTTTCAGGGCCTGAATGTAATGTGTGTGGTTAAGGAGGGGATATATTGAGTTTCTTCAGCAGAGGACTGGTTCCAGTGTGTGCCCTACATGCTGGAGAGCTGGGGACCTGCTGCAGTTGAGCTTTACATCCCAATCACTAAGAGAAAAACCAGGGCTGCTGGACGGTTGTTCGTCAGTCCAGGCAAGCTTCTCACTTTGTCTTTTCATTTTCTTTCAGGACAAACTGTTCACGATGTCAATCAAAAAGGAAGGTGCCCACAAGAAGTGGGCTGCCCTGAAGGAGAAACTCGGACCCCAGGAGACTGACCAGTCAGAGGCCAACCTGGAAAATGCAGAGCCAGAGCTGTGCATCCGTCTCCTGCAAATGCCATCAGTGGTAAACTACTCTGGGCTGAAGAAGCGGCTGGAGAACAGCGATGATGTCTGGATGGTCCAGTTCCTGGAGCTGTGCGGGCTGGACCTCCTGCTGGAGGCCCTGGACAGGCTGTCTGGGCGAGGAGTGGCCAGGATTTCTGATGCCTTGCTTCAGCTCACTTGCATTAACTGTGTGCGAGCGGTCATGAACTCCCACAAAGGCATCGAATACATTGTGAGCAATGAGGGCTACGTTAGAAAACTCTTCCAAGGTGAGAAGACATCTTCCTGTTTCATCCATCACATGTGGCACAGGGGGGAACTTCCATGTTGCTTGTCCTCCTGCCTCGCACCAGGCAACTGATTAATGAGGTTGTTTTCTTCTTTAAAATAATACTGCTTTGAAATGACATTGCCTTTACCACCCAATGCTATTTCCACACAAATATCGTCATAGTTTACTGAGAAGCCAGGGATAAAACCAGCCTTAGCTGTACGCAGGCATGAGAAGTCCTCAACCCTTCGGCTGTCAGCAGACATTTGCTATTTAGTCTTTGGGAGCCCCAAGGGCAGAGGGAGAGGTATTGAAAGGGCATGGAGACTTGTAGCCTGTAAAGAGGAGGGAAGGTGGCATGGTTTAGACTCAAGAGAGCACATTCTCTGCACTGCTCAGTCTGTTCCTTCTAGAATATGGTAGGTAATATCACTTACTTTCTGCTGCCATTCACTTGGCTTGTCATTAGGTATGAAACTCGTCAGGGCATCTCCTAGGACTTATTGTACAGCACTTAATGATGATGGTGCTGGGAGGATAACTTCTGTGCTGCTTCACAGAGCTGAGATCACCGCTGTGCCCAGAAACCCTTATTAATAATTCTTTAAAATGCATTTATTCTGAAAGCTAGCTTGCCCCCCTCTTCAGTTTTGAAGTCCTTTTTCTTCCTCTCCACCCTGTATTTTCTTAACTAGTGTGAAATACAGAGCTGGCATTTTTGTGCTGTGAAAAACAGGCCGGTACCCTGGGCTTTTCAGTGGTCAAGCTTCTTTGTGCACTAATAAAGGAAAAAATAAGATGGTCTAATCCACTCCTCCCAACTCCCGGGGCTCACAGAGAAAGAGTAGTGGAAAAAAGAGAATACATGGGGACTGGTTAGAACAATTGGCCTACTTGATATGCATGTGGGGTGTTTCTGCACTAAAAATAAGACTCATTAATTGAAGAAAATGGTTCATCTGCTGTTCTAGAAAATACCCATATGTGAAAATGGGAAATAAAATGTGTGATTGCGAGTGCTGAGATCTTGGCTGCTGTTGTAGTGCACCACTGGTACATGGAAAAAATGAACACCTACAAGGAGCACCAAAATGCCAATAGGGTACCTGAACTAGCATTTACTGTTCCCAATAGAAGTAACTACCAGATATTGCTATTGGGATGGAATATCTATAAATTGAGATATTTTTCTTCCCATCTTCCACCTTCTGGCTCCACTCCTTCAATCTGTTTTTCTACCACTGGTCATAAGCCATGTAGCAGAAGACACTGAGATTCAGAACATTAATGTCATTATAAATTCTTTTTTGTTTTGTTTTGTTTTCCCTCCAGCACTTGACACAACTAATGTCATGGTCAAAAAGCAAGTGTTTGAGCTCCTGGCTGCACTGTGCATTTACTCATCAGATGGCCATGCTTTGGCTTTGGATGCCCTGGACCATTACAAGGCAAGTGTTGGGCTGCAGCAGGGGTACGGCTCTGCTCTGATCCATGCAGGTAGATCTATGTACCACAGAAAAGGGATGGGAATTAAGGCCATTTCGCATCATTTTGGTAAGAGAGGCAGGGATTTATAAGGTGAAAACTGGAGGAAATTTGGCCTGGTCAGCATAAGCCCATGGTGCTGCTCTGTGACTTGTCTGGACAGATGACTGCCAACCACAAGATCCCTTTTGGCAGGAAAAGCACTACCAGATTAGCAAAATAGATAATGCCACATCCATGGGTTTCATTGGCCACAAGCCCAGGTAGGTGCATCAGTTATCAGAAAGCATAAAGGAGTCCAAGAGGAGTTTCACTGACTTTCTCTGCTGACCAGACCCCGCTCCATGATGGGGGAGTGCTGCTTTTATCTGTATCTTCCTGTCTTGTGCACAGTGGGATAAACTGAGAGGTTTTAAGACGCTAATTCCATCTGAGAGCCTGCACCAAAGTGGTAGATGTTTCTGAACTGTCTGAACAGAAATTTCACTTGTGTTATTAACAGAGTGTGAAGAACCAGCAGTATCGATTCAGCGTCATAATGAACGAGCTCTCCAACACAGATAACGTGCCATACATGGTGACACTGCTGAGTGCTATCAATGCCATCATACTGGGTAAAGAAGAGCTAAGAACAAGGACACAAATCAGAAATGAGTTCATAGGTAAGGATGTTTGTTGCACCTAACTTTCTCTGGAGAAAATCAGTTGCCAAGCAGGTTTATTTTCAGATGTATCCATAAGGTGACTAAAGAGGGCTGGGGAGCAAAACTGCAAATATTAAAGGCAGGCTCCTTTTTTTTTTTTTTTTTTTTTTTGGTCTCTATGTACTTCAACAACCTTTCTGTAAACAGATTTTTTAGACCGTGCTGCTTTCCAATAGCTTCGATCTTTTCTGGAATCCCAGCAGCACTGTATCACTTGAGCTTCTTTGACACATTTCTATAACCAACCATCTTATGTAGCCCCATTTCCATATGTTACAACTTCTCATAAGAGTACATAAGGTTTCTTCACCCTGTGTGTACTCAGATGAGCCACTGAAGCTGCCCTGTGAGTCAGAAATACTTTCCAACTGCTTGAATACCGGGATCCTAGGTACCGTTGTTAGGATTCACCTCACATAATGTGCGCATCTGAGCTGGTGAGCCTGGGCTTCATTTCTTTCTGTGGAGAGCAAGGGACATTTAACCACAGCGTTCATCTGACTGATCCATCTGAAGATATTTTCACTTTTTCTCTCTGCAAAAAGTGTTTATGAGCATAACATTATATAAAGATCATAACAGATCAGTACCAGGTAGGTCATAATGCCAATATATCTATTTTTTTGTTCTCCCAGGGCTTCAGCTATTGGATATTTTAGACAAGCTAAGGTAAGGATCACTGTTTAAATTTTCTTTTATAAATGAGATTCACAGTAACGCAGCTATGGAAACTTAATACTTAATCAGCCTTCAGCTGTGTGAAGTGAAGTGTACCCGGGTGGAGCGGACCATGCTTTTGTGCACCCATTACACAGGAACCAGAGGCATTAGGCCAGTGTTAAGATGGTCTTGCCAACCACGGTGTCACAGGGACAGCTGTTGGCACAGATGGCGTTGACAAAGGCTCTGGGCACAGGTGGAGCAAGGCTCAGCAACGTCCTCATTGAGGCTGCGTTTCAGACTGAACCTGAAGTGACGCTGTGGGCTCACTGAGCAGCTTGCTATATTCAAAATGCCTTCACTGCTGGTGTTGGTCCCAGAAGCATCCAGCTAAAACAATTTACTAGTGCATACATGGACATACCTAGCTTCACAGTTTCTTAATTTAAAAATGATGTCGTGTCAGAAACACCCATGATGAATTCTAGAATGCATTATATGTGAGTTGCAGTTATCCACATAACTGGAATTGCTCTGTTCAACCCCATAAAAATTAGAGAAGAGAAGATCTTTCAATAGTGCCAACTAGCAAGGGTGGAGTTCCTGCACTGAGTGGTCTCGAGAATGCTGAAAAAGTTGGCTTTAGAGTATTTGGGTTTTTTTTTTAATCCAGTTTTGAGTAACAGAGAAGGAAGTTTTTCGAACAGAAACATCACTGGAATATTTTCAATTTGTCTTGACTTTAAAAAAAAAAAGAAGAAGGTGGCCCAGTTTCAAAAGGTGGAAATGCCACTCTGTTGTTACAGCTCCAAGAAGCCCATACAAAGCATACACTGGCCCAGGCTATGCCATGAAAAGTCCCATTCATTTGCATGTCTTGACTGTAGAAAGAGGTACATTCAGTTCAAGAAAGGATGCACTGATGGCATTTGATCCTTTATAAATAAGGTAGAGTTGGGTACTTTCAACACCGACTGGCCGAGTCTGAGAGGCAAAGAGATAAAAGCCATTAAAACAAAAACAATCATCTGAAAATCAGTGAAGGGCTCTCCAGTGAAAATGAATGCTGTAATATTGCAGAGACATAGAGGAGGAGGATCTGCTTATCCAGTGTGATACATTTGAGGAGTTCAAGATAGAAGATGATGAGGAATTATTAAAGATATGTGATGGGATAAACATGAACGATCATCATGAGGTCTTTTCATCTCTCTTCAATAAAGTAAGTAGGCCCTCACATGGGGTGCAAAGTCATGCAGTGGCAAAGTTAACACACTTTGCTTGGAACCGGTCTTGCTGTGATGGAAAGCTGCCCTGTCTTCCAGGTGAGCCGCTCTCCGGTCTCCATCCAGCTGCTGTCCATCCTCCAGAGTCTGCTGCACTTGGAACCATCTCATCACTCCAGCCTCCTGCTGTGGGAGTCCTTGGACGCGGTAGTGAACAGAGCCCTTTTGCTTGCAAATGACAGTAAGAATGACGTATCCATCCAGCCTTGCACTCTCCTCTTGTTTTCCCTTGTCCCATCCACTGCCCCCAGAAGTCCTTCCCAAATGCACAGAAAATAATCTATGGGACTTGCTAAGAGCTGAACAGAAGCTGGGACCAAGCTACACCTCCTGCATAGGGTCAAGTCTTGATGCGAAGCCCCAGCCATACGGATGCCAGTGAGAGCTGGCCATGTTTAGCAGTGGGCTCAGGATTCACGGTCTTGCTTTGATCCTTAAGCCCTGAGCTTTGGGTCATGGGACTCAGTGGGAATCTGTCCTCATTGGCATCCTGCCGCTGATGCTGCCTAGTCTTACTGGCAGGCATGCTCAAAACAGTGTTTGTGGGCCACGACCATGGGAAGGAAATTGCCCGGAAGCTAAAAGTGCAGTTGTGTAAAGTGACATTAGGGAGTGGGCAAAGTGACACCAGGCAGTGGGCTCAGTGACACCAGGGAGTGGGCTCTGTGGCTCCAGATCTGCTGCTTGGTGAAGGTTGAATAGCATGAACCAACCTTTCGGCCCCATCCACTTCTCTGACCCCAACTCATGTCTCTAGTCCAAGGGAACACAGTTGAAGAAGTCATTGAGAGGCTGCTATCTATCAAGAAGCATCCAAACAAGCAAAAACGAGCTGAAAACCGGCTGTCCGGGAGTGCGAATGGAGGCATCCAGGCTGAGCTAGAACCACGTGCACATGCAGCTCAGAGCCCAGCAGGATCATCAAACCCCTCCAAGGCACCAGCAACTCCCTCAGGGCCACCTGCCAACGAAAAGATCTCATCCTCCCAGCTCACAGCCTGCTCTGCTTTGCCTGAGACATCTAACCCTCCCCCCAACACTGCTCCCGCCCCAGCACCTCCACCCCCACCACCTCTGCCCCAACCCTCTGGCACAGCAGCTGTGACCCCCACGTCCCCCACGATGAATGCACCTCCAGCCTCTCCACTCCCTGGCATCCCTCCACCCCCACCCCCATTGCCTGGCATGGAGGGTATCCCCCCTGCTCCACCCCCATTGCCTGGCACGGTGGGCATCCCTCCCCCTCCACCCCCATTGCCCGGCATGGGTGGCATCCCGCCCCCTCCACCCCCGCTGCCTGGTATGGTGGGCATCCCTCCACCCCCACCCCCATTGCCCGGCATGGGTGGCATCCCTCCACCCCCACCCCCATTGCCCGGCATGGAGGGCATCCCTCCACCCCCACCCCTTCTGCCCGGCATGGCAGGAGATCATATAGAAGCTGTGGTGGCCTCCCAGTTCAGCTGTCCTCTTGGCTCGGGCAGGCCTCCCCACAAGACGATGAAGACGCCGACGTTGAGAATGAAGAAGCTGAACTGGCAGAAGCTGCCCTCCAACGTGGTGAGAGGTGGGTGCTTCTGGCGTAAAGTCACGGCTGCTTCAGGGGTCACCCAGGGGAAGAAACACTGTCTTTGAGTTTGTCAAATGTAGTTGACTCCATTTAGATACAGAACTTCCCTCATTTCCATCACATCTGACCTGCAGAGCTGAAATAAATAAAAGTGGCATGAAACCGCTAATAGAATATAATAACCATTCCAACTAAATCAGTAGTTTGGAATAGTTTGTTTATAACTAAAATACTTTGAAATTAAAAGAAGGAGGAGGGATGGGAATATTTCTGTAATCCACCATGACATGCCTTAGGTTTGAGTTTTCAACAGGCCCTGATCTGGGTTCCCCAGACTTTTGTTCCCCAGTTCATCTATACTTGTATCTGGGTATATTAAAGTCATGAGTAAGAGTGCAGGTAAGGATCATATCACAGTTTGAGAAGGACATTGAAAGAATTGGAGAGCCATGAGAATCATTGACTTGTTTCTTGATTTTTGGGTTACATTTCCCTCTCCTAGTGGATCCAAAGAGGAGCATGAAATGTGAGAAGAAGCCAGGACAGGCAACGTCAGCTTTGCCCTAGACAAGCAAGGCATCCACTGCATGGAAGCTGGCATAGATGAAGTATAAATAAGGCGTGTTTTCAATCACAGGAGCAGTTAATTGTTGATATTCTTTCAGTAGAGACTTCTACAGGCATGTTTGGGTGATTTTTTTTTTTTTTTAAAGATTTTTAAGGCAGTGCAGTGGGAATTAATTCAAGCAGTCCTATAGCCAGCATTATACAAGGAGGCTCTATCATAAAATGAAAAATGGAGGAAGACCACAGTCAGAAAATGTCCAGGTTGTGGCCAGGAAGCAAAAAGAACATCAGCCATGGGACTAGAAAACAAACGGCCAAGGTCCATCTCATGCTGATCCAGTTTGCCTACCATGGAGGAGAATGCAGTCGTATAGGGAGGGATGGGGCTGTATGGCCTCTGTGTGCCCAGTGCTTCATCCCCTTACCAGCACATCTTGGGGTAAAGCACCAGGTTTAATTACCCTTCAGGCCCTTTGGATCCTGCCTGTGGGACTTGCCCCTCCTCAATAATTAGCATTTTTCAGGACTCATATGTCTCTCCTTATTTCATTCATCTTCTGAGAAGTGTCCCTTCCAGCAACTCGCATTGCCCCAGAAGCCAGGAGCTTTCAGCTGTCCCTGTAGCCAGTCTGAACACCTTGTCTTTTTTCAGAAAGTCACTCAATGTGGGCTTCAGTGAGCAGCAGCAGCGAGGAAACTATAGAGCCCAATTACACAAGCATAGAGCAGCTGTTTTGCTTTCCACAACCAACCCCCAAGGAGAAAACAGCCACACCAGTGAAGGCAGAACCGAAGGAGGTGAGGAGGTTCCCTCTCGTTCTTTTGAATAAAGATCACTGCAGACCGCTCATCTAATATGAGATATCTTCTTTTTCTTTAATGAAGATCACATTTTTGGACTCCAAGAAAAGTCTCAATTTGAACATATTTTTGAAGCAATTTAAATGGTAAGATATAGCCAATTTTCCTGACAGTTGACAAAACTGAGCAGGTTTTGCATAGTATCTGGAAGGTCCTCATGAAATCTGTTCTAGCCAATGCGCTTTGGTGGTCTGTGTTACTGAAACATCTGAACATTTCCCAGTTTGTCCTACACTGTCTCTAAAATACTGAGTTTAGGGATTTAATTATGTTTTCACATACAACATCCCCATATGTTGGCAAAGGTGTTACATCTCCATGTTGCAGATAAAGTTGTGGCACAGACTCTTGGGGTGAGACACCTCTGTAGGTCAAATTCCTCCTCAAAACAGGGCCAATGGAGACATTAAGAATTAAATTTTCTTTTAAGGTAGTCAAATGCCTAGAGACAAAGATCTGAGTTGCAGGATTGATCTCTGGCCTTGAGTCATTTGACCAGGGCCAGAAACAAAATCTGGGGCATAGCAGGGATCCAGGTCCTGATTCTAAGTTAATCATGGGGACATATCTTTTGTTTTGGCTTATTGTGGCTCTCCCTAGAGAAAGCATGGAGCGCTTGCACAGGTACATGTCTCGGTAGCATGTGATTGTGGAAGACGGGTCTTTGGGTGACAGCTGACTCTGCTCCTCCTCCCTGCAGCTCCAACGAAGAGGTGGCTGCCATGGTCCAGAATGGGGACCGGACCAAGTTCGACGTTGAGGTTCTGAAGCAGTTGCTGAAGCTGCTGCCTGAAAAGCATGAGGTAGGAGGAAAAACGGTACCCTTAGTTCACAAAGCTGAACACTCAGTGCAGTCCTGCAGTCTTGATTTTTTATTTCTCATTAGATAGAAAACCTGAAGTCCTTCAAAGAAGAGAAATCAAAGCTAGCAAACGCAGATCAGTTTTATCTTCTCCTCCTTCAGATTCCCAGGTAAGGGTGAACTTCAGCCCAATCTTTTTCTTGGTTTACCTCTGGGAAGTTTAAGTTTCTTTATAGGAGCCTCACAGACAAACACTGATGGATATAGCTGGTGGATTCCCCCTTCCACCGTAGAGCCATCCCTTTCCCCTTACCCTCAGATGAAGGGCTGTTGCTGCTCCAGCACCTCCTTTCCTTCTGAAGCAGCAGAAGCTGGCCCAGACCCAGGGTCAGACCTGCCAAAAAGGGGCCCCATAACTTACTGAAAGGCAGTGCCAAATGCAATGCCAAGAAGGGGGAACCCATATCTCACACGGTGGTCAGTCTTCTCTTTGCTGATCACAGTGCGTCAGCAGAAACTACATCCCCACTGGACCCCGAGGCAAGCAGCAGCCCCTCACCGCCCTCCACAAGCCATAGATACTGGTTTGATGTGGATGGGGTTGGCAGCGATGTTGTGGGGTTGCCAGACTTACCAGTGATGTGGGAAGAGGGCTGCTGTGCTGGCCACGATCACAGTGCCTTTAAGCTTTGAGTCCATCTCCATCCTCAGCTACCAGCTGCGCATTGAATGTATGCTGATCTGTGAAGAGACCACTGTTGTACTGGACATGATTCAGCCAAAAGCTGAAGCCATCCGGAGAGCCTGCGAAGGTAAATGACCTGACTTTATTTGTGGATCTTATTTATGACAGGAAGCTTGAAACCCTGCAAAACTCCCCTGGAGTTCTGCAATGATACTACCCAGCGCACAAAAAACTCCCTTGTGGTCCATTCACTGGTTCACTGCAGAATACGGGATACAGCTTTAGGTATTTCCACCGATGGTCAAAGCTCTTAATAGGACTGGAGATCACTTTCCCTCACCCTCAGCCCTCTTTCTCTGCAGCAGATGTGTTCCTCTGAAACACTTTCAATGGTGAAGTGTTGGAAGCTGGTCAGCCCTTTCAAAGGAGCTGAATTTAGACAGTGGAGCTGGCCCCATTACAGCTAATTCATCCAGCATTATTTGCCACGTTAAGAACTTCACACAGCAGTTTGCTGCCAGAAAAGCACCCCCCAAACTTTCCCCAGAAAGTAGTGATGCTTTACTTTTTCGTTGCCTACAAATGGAACCAGAAGAAAAAGTTTGGGTTTTGGGCTATAAATTGCTGATGCTCCAATTTTGTGAGTACCTGGAGAGATTACGCAATAGGTTTTGCCTTCCTGTAGCAGAAAAGTCAGGTCCCACTCCGCTGAGAGCAGGATGGTCTTCTTGGCATTGTGAGGTGCTCCCTGTCCTACAGAGGCAGTTCCCCCAACTCCTGCCGGAGGTTTCTCCAGTTGCCTGCTGGCATAAATTGAATCTTCCCCCAAAAAGTATCTTCCTGGCAGCCCAGTTGTCCTTTTGGAGCTGTTCCTGTCTCAAGGTTGAGTGCTTCAGAAAGCACGACACTGCGGCACCCTGTTGTAAGAGCAAGGATAGGGACCGTACCCTTCATGCCCTGATAATCACCTCCACCATGGGAGACCAAGAACAGGGTGAGTGTGTCTGGTTTTAGCCGCTGGCAGATAATTGCATGGCTGTCAGAACTGGCTTCACTGCAGAGTCTGCAAGATTAAAATTGCAGCCTTTACCTACCCTCGCCTGCACCAGGGTAAATCAGGGTACTTCCAAGCAAGTTGATGGCTGTTACTGAGGAGGGTCCAACTTCAGGTTTTCCATTAGGAATGAGAGACCAGATGTAATGAAAGAAAGAAACATATGTCAACAAAAACTTTTACAACTCATGGAACTGAATCTATGTAGAGTCAGTTTCTCTGCAGGTTGGGCCATTGGGCTGCAAAGCTGAAATACCAGATTTGGTTTGGTAGAATTCAGAATCCCAATTTCAATGCAGTTTAGGAAATGTTCTGGTGTAACAGAGGCTTTTGTTTAAAAGTCCTTTCTGTCTTTCAGATCTTCTGAACAGTCATCGCCTGCCGCTCTTTTGTCAACTGATTCTCAAAGTTGGAAACTTTCTGAACTACGTAAGGTCTTCTTTTGTCTTGTCCTCCCCCCATTACAGTATGTGGATGATCTCCTTTAGGGTTGTAATTTGGGTGGACACAGGAGTTACATCTGCTTTCTTTCTATCTTGTAGGGAAGTCACACGGGCGATGCCGATGGGTTTAAAATCAGCACTTTACTCAAACTAACAGAAACCAAAGCAAACCAAACCCGCATTACTCTGCTCCACCATATTCTGGAGGTACCACTGCCAAGTCCTGGGCAATAGGGAAGGGGAGGATTTTATCACAGATGAACCATTTCTCCTACTCTACTTTCGTAGTTAATGCCACACACTTGTATTCGTATTCTCCCTGGCTAGCTGCAGAGTGTCACAAGTTGGGAGCATTTGAATCACTTAGGCTGGTGGAGGCTGCTTGTAGGCGCTACTCAGGCAGCTCCTTAGTTTAAGACTTGTTCTACTTTCTTCCAGCATCTTTCCCCACATGGGCTGGAACTTCCTTTTTCATATTTGTGCAATCTGCACATCATCAGCTGCAAACCACAAAGCACATGACTACCAAAGCTATCCTGGCTGGCCTGTACCCATTCAGCCTTTCTGTCTTTCCACTGCCTCTCCCTTTTCCACCAGACTATGCTTGAGCTTTTCATACTCCTTTCCAAGCCCCCATGGCTTTCTTATTCCCTATAATGCTGTTTTTCCTTTTTTCTCCATGCTCTGCTCTGCCACCTGCGCTCCTCAAGGTCCCTCCATTTCAGTTATGCATGTTCAAGCCCTGCTTTAACTGGCAGTAGCTTCAGCAAGCACAGCCATGAAATTAAATTATGCAAATAAGATTCAAGCCCTTTTGACACCCTCTTGGGACCGTAGGAAGTGTCAGACTGCATCAAACCACAGTCCTGCCTCCTCCCGTGGTCACGAGTAGGTGTCTCAGAAGAGGGTAGACTAGCTCAGCGACAGGTCAGCCTTGCTTTGCACTGTAAGTATTTCTCAGCATTCAGCCCTCTTGTATGTTTTTATAGCCCAGGAGCAATGCCTTTCCACCCTGAACGTGCTGTCCTGTTTTGAACGCGTCTCGGCTCTGCGAGGGAAAGCAAATTGCAGGGGGGGGGCAGCAGCAGGACGTGGCACAGTCGTCCTTCCCGGGCACTTCTGCACGTGCCTCTTCCCCCCACCTTCCTCTCTCAGCTCTTGCCACACAGCAAATAACACTTCTTTCTCTCTTCCGCTTCAGGAAGTAGAAAACAGCCACACGGACCTACTGGAGCTGCCAAAGGATCTTGAATATGTTTCAAAAGCAGCAGGGTAAAATTGTGTGTCACTTCCTTTGAATTAAAAACAAAAATAAATCCCATACACATCAACAATGTACCAGAAATTGGGACACACACAGCTGGTATAGCACATTAACAAGATGGCATCTTATTTAGTTTCAGCCGAAAGATTTGGTTGATGAATGTTGAAACCCCTTTAATATATAATAGTTCTACTACAGCTGGCAACACTTAGGGCTGAAATTTGCAGAGCGATCAGTTAATGCTGCCTTCCAGGCCCTTCCAAACTCTGCACTGCCTTTGTGGTAGCAGGACCTTGTGAAGACCAGCTACCCAGAAGCATTTCTGAAGTGCCTTCAACCAAAGAAAGCGAGCTAATGCTGAGCTCTGAGGGTGGAGAACGGCCCTTTGAACGGGTGAACTTTTGGGGGCATTCATCTACTCAATGCACAAAGCTGTAGGCAGACCTGGCAGCCTTTTCATAAGTGCTGTCGAGGGAAGCTGTTTTCCATGAGCTTGGACTGTAGAGAGTTCAGAGCTCAGGTGTCAGTTCAGTGAAGTGGTGGGAAACACAGGGACAACCAAACCACCAGCTCAGATTTGCCCACTCTTTGGTCAGCACAAGATGCTGGAGTGTCAACTAATGGGGGGGTTCTGTGTGATTTCAGAATTAATCTTGATATTATACGCACGGAGTCCAGTACCAATTTAAAGAAATTGCTAGAGCTTCAGCGGAAAGTCTTATCATCAAGCGACGACGTGAAACAACAGTATGAGAAACCTATCCAGGTTAGTAATGGAGCTCCCTTATACCTCTCTGTCACGGTTTAACCGCAGCCGGCAGCTAAGCACCACGCAGCTGCTCACTCATCTCCCTCACAGTGGGATGGGGGAGAGAATCAGAAGGGTAAAAGTGAGAAAATTCATGGGCTGAGATAAAGGCAGGTAAAACAAAAGCCACACACACAAGCAAAGCAAAGCAAGGAATTCATTCACCACTTCCCATTGGCAGGCAGGTGTTTGGGAAGACAAATGCCATCACTCTGAATGTCCCCTCCTTCTTCCCCCAGCTTTATATGCAGAGCATGACATCGTATGGTCTGGAATATCCCTTGGGTCAGTTGGGGTCAGCTGTCCCAGCTGTGTCCCCTCCCAACTGCTTGTGCACCCCCAGCCTCCTCGCTGGTGGGGTGGGGTGAGGAGCAGAAAAGACCTTAACTCTGTGTAAGCACTGCTCAGCAATAATGAAAATATCTCAGCATTATCAACACTGTTTCCAGCACAAATCCAAAACATAGCCTCATATTAGCTGCTCTGAAGAAAATTAACTCTATCCCAGACAAAACCAGCGCACTCCCCCATTACACACACAGAGGCAGCGTGCGGTACATATGCAGCTGGGGAGGCTCATGAGAAGGTGGAAAATACTTCCACAAGACATGCTCTCAAATTTGGAAATAGGCTGCAATGCCACACAACCCATCAGTGGCTATTTGCCAGTTCTGCCACAAACCTGGATACCCTTGGTGAGGCCATTTCTTAAAGCCCCTGCCCCAACTGCACTCTCTACTCTGTAGTGTGACTCCTCACTTTGAGTGAAGGCGTTCACCCTCTGTGTGGATCACCAGAGTAAAGCCCTTCTCTTGGGATTAAGCTTTGCGTTGAGTTTTCCATGTCTTGGTCAAGTCACCCCTATAAACTGGCACAGCACAGTCACCAGGTGCAAAGATCATCTGCAAATCTTAGTTTCCTCCCACCTTATAAGCTCTGCTGCAGTTAAAAGCCAGGGCCCAGAGTCCTGCTCCAAGCTCTCATGTTGACATCCTTTTTTCTTTAAGTGCACTTCACTCATTGTCCTCTGGATGGTGTTTTACTGTGTATATTAAATGTATTTCAGGATAGCATTGATGCCTCCAGAAAGCTGGAAGAAGAATTTGAAACCATTGAAAGGAAGAGAGAAGAACTTGCAAATTATCTCTGTGAAGACCCAAGCAAGTTGTCCTTAGAGGACATATTTAGCACCATGAAGACCTTCAGAGATCTCTTCATCCGAGCCTTAAAGGTTGGCATCTGCACACATGATGCTGAGCATCCTTAGTACTGGTGCATGCCTCCGCTCCGACAGACGGGGTGGGATGGGCACCCAAATCTGGTGGGGGGAAGGTGCTGGTTACAGCCTCCTCCTTTCGGTGCTTGGGATGAGGTCACCCAGTGAAGAGGTGTCTGATCCCTACTCCACTGCATCCTCATGCAATGCTGGTGCTCCTGGCCTGGCCCAGACCCTGGTGATTTGCAATTTTGGTACAACTTTAGCTGCAGAGTTACAAAGATGCTTTGGAATCAAGTGTGTAAGTTTTAGAGGAAGGGACTTATTAAACTTAATGCTTTGCTCCAATGTGAGCAAGCAGACTCAGAAAGGGGATGTGTAGTAAAAAAGCCACCAGTTTGGACGAAATTGTGGCTTCAGTACCTTCCACTTTTGCCTCAGCTAAAGATGCAGCTTTAAAGTCATGCAGAAGATCTGCACACTGGTAAGTAGCTGTGTTGGGCAGATCACTGCTGCCACCTCGTACTGGGATGTGGCAGAGCCCCGACCAAGCCAGCGGTCTCCCTCTCCCCCTCTTGGCAAGACAGTCTTTATTCCCCATGCCCATTTTATTTATTGCACAGGATAAGGCCAGAATTTCTCTTTCTCCTTTGCAACCATCTGCAGACCTTCTTTCTCTTCATTGGCTTTTCTAGCAGATGTTTAGCCAAGCTTCTCATGCCCCTGTTACCTCACTGCAGGAAAACAAGGACAGAAAGGAGCAAGCTGCCAAAGCAGAAAAGAGGAAGAAACAGCTGGAAGAGGAAGAGGGGAAGAGACAGAAAGGAGAAAATGGAAAAGTCAGTGAGTATCTGAAAGGGCTTCAAAAAAGATAGACGGAGCTGATGATAGGAGCTCTTTGCTGGTCCTGCTTTAATGGACCAGTAGTGGCAATTTATTTTGTGGGTTTCCAGGTGCTTGCTGACTAAAGGCTTTTAGGTGTCTTACAGCCACAGCTAAGAATTGAGTTTTCACAATTGCAGCTGGGCAGAGAAGTTAATTTTAGGTTTGCTGACTGAACAGCAGAGAAAAAAAAAACAAAAAACAACCAAATTGAAATATTTCAGTTAACTTTTTCTGTTTCTAAACATAGCTTTTGAATCCCAAATCTAACAAGAAACATTTGACTTCTCCCCCCCTCCAAAATCCCCATATACACTTGAATAGTCTCTCTTTACCAGAGACTACTGACATCCCCAAAATCTTGCAGATAACTTAAATCTGCCTTTCTCTGGATGAAAATGAAAGGCACAACTGAAAAGCACAATTGGAAGAAGCTGAGAGGAAAGAAAAATCAAGATTATTTTCCTTCCCACCCGCCCCCCCCCCCCCAAAAAAAAAAAAGACCCCCACCAACACAGATAGCAAACAGGAGGCATTTCAAGGTCATGGTACAACCAGGCACAAGTCCGGGCAGAGCAGGTGCCACTGGTGCCAGCCTGTAGCACCCAGACTTTGGGGTAAACCCTCTGACTTTAGCCAGGACATGCTGCTGCAGCGGCATAGAGCATGGGCTGCTCCCAGGCCTGGCATCAGGGTCTTGCTTTTGCCCAGCGGTTGCTTGTACCAGGACAGCAGTACCCACCCCAAGCAATAGCATTGCTGCAAAGTCTCCTTCTGCCCCGTCTCATGGGCAGATTTAACACCCATCTCTCTCTATCCCAGTTAAGAAGGGGGTGGTGAAGCAGGAGGAGGTGTGCGTCATCGATGCGCTGCTAGCCGACATAAGGAAAGGGTTCACGCTGAGAAAGACAAAGAACAGACACGAGTTGGATGCAATTCCTAAAACCTTGCCTGCAGAGAGCCCGGAGCAGAGCCAGTCTGGTAAGGACACAGACCCGACTGTACCTACAGCTATTCATTCCCCTCTGCCTCTGAGCCTGAGCCAAGCACAGAAGCAAGAAGCCTTCGCCTTTGCGTTTGGGGCATTTTATTTAAGGAGGCTTTGCAGCCAGTGCCGTGGAGAAGAGGAGCAGAGGGCCCTGAGCTATTGCCAGCCAGGTCTGTCCCAGAATTAGCAGCAATTTGGAGCAGCATGGCCTTGTCTTCGTGCTGATAAGCCTCTGAGAGACATGGCCCGCGGGTCAGCCATAGACCCGTGCTAATGGGCTGCTGGTGTCATCCTCACATGAGTCCCCTCCATGCTACCAAGTCTTAGTAGCACAGCTTGCCACTGCCTTGGAGAGTGCTGCGCCCTGTCTTAGTCTACATTTGGGAGTCTAAAGAAGCCCTTAAAAAAAGATTAGAAAATGCTAGTTGCAGAAGGACCCAAGTCCTTTAGGTGCCTGTTAGAAGACAGCCCATGGGTTTAGCTTTTCTTTGGTCTCTTGACCTTGGTGTCAGTGCACATTAGGTAAGTTCAAGGACATTGGCCTACCATAGAGCCTGACTTGTGTGCACTGTAGCTCTCCTAAACATGCTCTGCAAGGGCAGAATTAGGCTGGCTGATGGGCAGTTTTGAAGTGCTCATGCACACAAGCGAGCAGTCCCACCTGGTTCAGGACCTCGCGGGCGGGTTCGTTCCTCCTGCCGTAGGCTTTCAGGCACCCTTGTGAGTCCAGGGGCTTCCATGGAAATCAGCCAGTTGGCACCAAAGACATATAAACTCCTGCTGAAAATAGAGCAGGGGCTTTGCTGAGCTGGAGTCTTGGGTCCAAATCGGCTGACCACAAGGGGTATAAGGAGGGGAGGTATAGGAAGCATAAAATGGTGCTGCTTCTGCATAGCTGCTTTAGGGTCAGTGCACCCTCCACAGGCAGCTGCTAGCTCGTAACCTCTCCCAGTGGCAGAAACACCTTGGTTGATCCCAGGTGCAGCTCTGCAGCTGTGGCTGATTGCGTGGTTTTTGTTTAAAGGAAAGAGCGTTAAGGATCCGCAAGCAGCAGGAAAGCAGATCGATGATGAGACGAAGCAGAACAACGATGGTCATCCCTCCGAAAGCACTCCCCCCTCAACCACTGCCCTGATGGAGATGGGTGGAGATGTTACAAATGCCTCAGCTTCAAACCAGGCTTTAATTAAAAACAATGCTGGAGGAAATTTGCCACCAGAGTCCCGGACGGAAAGCCTCTCAGTAAGCTTGGTGGAAGCTGATGGGGCCGGTCAGCCCACGCCGGGCACCGGGATGGAGCAGGCAGAGAGCTGGGCAAGCCTCCAGCCAAGCACAAAGAGCGGCTCCATTGCCTTCTCTGCTGCTAACATAGGCACGGGGATAAGGTTTGTGAGCAGCAGTTCGGGCACTGCTCTGAGAGACCAACTCAACGGGTCCATCTCAGAAGGCCAGGACAAAGAATGCCCGGCTGATGGATCGGAGAGCTGCAGGCTGGCGCAGGAGCCAGAAACCTGGCTGAGCGAGAGCAGGGTCGACCCTGGCAGCGCTCAGTCCGCTCCCTGCGATGGGGCTCATCAGGCAGAGTCAAAAGAGATGGCAAAGGAAAACGAAGACCCTGGTACAGACTCGCTGTTGGACACCTCTCAAGAGAAGTCCTTCTCAGAGGAGCCAGCCACTGACTCCTCTTGTTCGGCAACGCTCCCCCCAGGGCAAACTCACAGCGACAGGGAAAAGCAGAGGCCATCCGGGAAACGGAGGAAGAAGAAGAGGCACAGCAAAAGCTACTCAGGTAGCCTATTTCATATATAGCTCCCGGGGACTGAGTTAAACTGGGGAGGCTTCTTCGTGTATTTGTATATATCTGTTCCTCCCCACTTTGAGGTCCAATGCCCCCTGCCTCTAGAGCCACGCTGTTTCATGGAGCTGTTATTTTCTGGTTTGTTTTTTTTAACCTGAAAGAGATTTAAAAAGAAAAATACAAGCATAGTTCATTCTCTTGACACTTATAAGTAGTTTATAAAGGGGTAATGATGAATCAATAATTAAAAAGCCCATTACACATACGCAGTAAAGATGGCAATAAGCACATCTGTCAAGTGTGCTAAAGACAGCTACAAGGCACGGTTATGTGCAAACAAGAGCTCCATTAGACTCCAGAGCAGTGATTAAGAGCAGTTAATACCGGGTACTTAATCAGCGATCTCCCCCTCTCAACTACTTATAAACACATAAAGGCAGCAACATGAGTGCTGCCGTGGGGTTGTTTGGTTTTTCCTCTCCTAAGCCTCATTGCAAGAGCACTTTGCCTGCAGTGACTTGACATCGCTGCAGGGTAAGGGGAGAACGTCAACAATTAAAAAAGAACACCTTGCTGATGCTTCTGGGAAGGATCGTATTTGGCTGGTTGAATGGTTCCCTTGCACTGGGCTGCCCTGCTGGGACCAGGAGAGAGCTTGGCCGCCGGAGGCATGGAGCCACCCAGGTCTCTGCTTCACGGTGAATGTCCACAGCCAGTCCCAAACCTGGGAAGTACATCCAAGTCCCTGAGACTCTACTGAGCTGAAGCCACCCTTGGGTTTGTGACCTATGAGGTGAGGTGCCTCATAGGGAAGACACATGGGTCTGCCAGCCTTTAGAAAGATGCAATATACTGTCCAAAGCCTGTTTTCTGCGAGATCCTGGGATCAAACAAATGGGCAGGAAAGTGGTGGAAGTCTCTTTTTATCAACGTTTAATGTTTTTCCTTCCAAGGAACGTGGAAGAGAAAGAAAAGGAGGTTTTGAATACCCACTGCTGAGAAAGACGGCATGGGTTGAGCATCTACCACAGAGGGACTTACCCTTATAATGCAGGCATGCCCTGGGGCTGTAGATATTTACATTTCTAAACGTGCCACTTTCCCATAGTTAAAAAACAAGCCACAAAGCAGAAGTGGTTTCCCAGAGCAGTGGTTCCCAAACTTGCTTCCCAGGCGGCAGCAGGAGGAGCTGCAGCAACGGGAGCACCCACGCTCCCAGCCGTGGCGATGCTCTCCTGACGTGTATTGGTATTTCTGGCTTAAGGAACTGAACCTCCAAAAGCCACGGGGCTGCCTGGGCATCCAGGGATGGCATCTTGGGAACCTCTCTGCTACTAGACAATGTTTTCATCGCAAGAAGTTCCCTGTTGTTACATTTGCCTTGCCGTGATCAGCTATATTTAGTGTTTCTCTTTTGTTTAAAAGCAGAGGTTGAGACTGATACTGGAGATAATAAAACAAAAAAAGGTTGTGTGGCACAATGAGGTATGTAAACTCACAAAGGTGTTTCTATGTGAACTAACCACAGCATTGGGACTTTACAGACCTAATCAGTATTCAGCATATCAGCTAAGCTTTTTGTCTTTGTGTCTAATCACAAATACATGTAAAATAAATTTGTTACTCTGATTTTTACTCTCCAGGGTGTTGATCTTGCGTTGAGTGGAGTCAGTGCTGATCTCCCCTTGACACAGGATCGCAGCCCACGTGTCTGTCCTCTGTGTCAGCAGCAGCCAAACCTCCTTTCTCTGCAGATAATTAAAAGTCATTATTCTAACCAATGAATCCAGCTTCATGTGATAAACAAACTCCTTGCTTTGATCCCGTTATTTTCTCAAAAACTGTAAAAATGCAATTTCAGTATCTACCTCCTGTGAAGAACAATGTTTGCTTTGCTTGTGGGTAGCCACTTCCTATAGCACCGTTTAGATATAGGTATCTAGAAAGGAGAATAAAACACTGGACCTGAGGAGAAATACTAGTTGGGGCAAGATACCAGCTCCAGCTCGAAGCCAAATTCAGTTCCAGAGTTGCACACTAACTAGTCCATTGGAGCAAACAGACCATGAATACTTCTTATGTACATTCATGCAGCTTTCTGGGATGGTGGGGAGGTAGGTCATTTGGCTTTTGTCACCAAAAAAAATAATACAGGTAAACCCAATTTCTAGTGAAACTGTGTACCAAGTTCCCTGCATCCTTCAGTGGTGCTGGCAATATACAGTTGCCCCTCAAAAGAAAACTTCAGGAGTTTCAGGATGAGACTTTCATTTGCAAACCTTTGCCTGTTTTTTTGGCAAATGGAAAGAAAAGCAAGAGAAAAACAATCAAAACACCCACTGTACTGAAATTGCATAGTTACGCGTTGTCCTTTCCATGCCGATGAGCATCATTTATGAACTGAATCAATAATGTCAAATCTTTGTCTGTCTGACTTCCTGAAAGGAATGTATTTATTCTCCAGCATCCCCAGTGCCCAGGGCTGGGAGCCCAGCTGGGAGCCCTGCTCCCACACAGCCTGGCGGCCCCCGCCTCTGGGGTGGTAGAACAGAGGAATCTCTGCAGGATTTCCACACAGGGTTGCTTTAGTTCCAGCACCTGGAGCATCATTGCTAGCAAGAGAAAATGAGATATAAATTGGGTAGTTACAGTCCTGACTACTCCTGCCCTCCTCTTGGCGCTTTCTGTGCCGTACCACAGGATTACATCAAGTGGAAAAGGGAAGTAGCTCTGTTGGTTTAAAAATCCTAAGGAAGATTTGCAACAAGAGCAGAAAATAGTAGCAGCAAGGCACAGGTAAGAAATATGTCAGGACCAGTAGTCATGCTGCACAGGGAGGCAGCTGAAACTGTGAGTTAAGCGTAACTCGGATTATGTATGTTTTAAGCACAGGGATTCCAGCATGCAGGCTTAAAAAAAGTCATATTTGAGGAAAATAGAGACACAGACAGTTTTGAATTCCCCTTAGAAGACCTGGGAAAGCGATATAAAGGAATGCATGGACAAACAGTACCTTTATGAAGTGACCAAGTCAGGCAGGAGTTTCAGCGCATCCTTGAAATGCAGCACCTGGCACAGCCGCATCGCGCCGGCAGCGCTCGGCTGTGCTTCAGTGCCAGGAGGGTAGAGACAAGCTGCACCCTGAAACCTGCAATTCCCTTTTTCCTCTGCTCCCATCTTTATGTCACTTGGAAAGGTTAGAGGAAACAAAAATCTGTTTGCTTCTCTTAGTGTCCAGCCACAGTGCTTCCTCACCCAAATGCAGCTCAAGTCCATCCCTCATGATGTGACAGACTCAGCAAGCCTAGAGTGCTCCCCAACAATATTTTTTCCTAGGATGTTCCACCTCTTTTTTTTTTTTCTGTCATTTATTGTCCCAAGTGCACATGATTTGTGCAGGTAACAGCACCAGTTCTCTTTTGGTACAGGATATTTCTCTCTCTGGTGGATTTGCTGGATGTGGAAGTTACTGGGTCTCAGTGAAGTCGCAGGAATCTTCTTCCTTCTTGTGCAGATCCAGCTGCAGGGATCAAGAATCGATCCCCTTATCAGTTTTTAGAGCTTCTGTAATAGCAGCAGAGTAAGGGCAGGAACAGCCCGTGACTCTATAAAATAATATTTCAGAGCAGTAAAAGACTGTTGTAATCAGCTACTGAGCTCTTGCCTCACCTTGACTATATCTTGTTATGCAGCAATTTCTGTCTTAATGTTCTTTAAATGTCAGCTTTTACACCCAAAGAGTGGTATCCCACGTTATCTCCATATTCCCGAAAAAAATGGTTTAGCTGGTTTTCCTGTGGAATCAAGGCACTGGTAGTCACACTGTGTTTGTGCGCACCCTGGTAACATCTGAACTCATTTCCAACCAAATCTGAAAAGAGCTTGAAGAAGGACCATTTAACAAAAGCTGACAGTCAAACAGAGGAGGGACTGTACAAATGCCTGAACTCAGGGGAGGTGCTCTTTGAGTTCCCTTGCCTTAGACCCTAGAGAATTGCTACAGATAAATGTTCACGTCTGTTTGTGCAGCAACCTTTTCCCTCTCCTCCCATCTTTATGTCACTTGGAAAGGTTAGGGGAAACAAAAGTCCTGAAAGCACAAGTCCATAAGCAACCGGGCTTTGGCAATTTCCCTGCTCACAAATCCACTGGATTTATTCCCTAGAAAATAAAAGAACAAACCAACCTGGGAGCATAGGCCAGTGCTCGAAGACCACAGCCTGGTGAGGAGGGAGGGAGGGGGCAGGAGGGGGACGCAGCGCTGCCTGCCACCAGCTACGGCGTGTACGTGGCAGAGTGGGACATCAGCCTCCCCCTGCAAAGAGACACCAGGGTTTGACAGTCAAGGTTTTCCTCCTCCTCCTTTGTTTTTTTCAATTGTCTTCCTTTAATTCTAGAGGAACAGATGCTTCCCCTTCCCTTCTGCAGACTCAGTATTGTCTGTGGGCAGTTTTCTAATGGACCATGAGAATATAATCAAGCTAATGCTCATCTTCCTGTATGGGCTTAATACCATTAGAAGCGGTATTTGCTTTGGTTATGGAGTGAGACAGGCTCTTAAAAATGACAGTGTGCTGCCCCATCCTTCTGACAGTTCTGCTAAATCCTCTAGATTTATTAAGTTCAGCAATTTATTATCTAGAAGCATATTCCAATATTCTGCTTTGAAAATACAAGGCTCATGTTGTTGGACTGAACTAGCATCCAGCTTAAAAGCAATGAAGTACATAAAGATTTAGGTCTACCTGTTTTTAGATTATCTGAGACTGGTTTCCCTAGTAGCACCCTGACCATTAGATACACGCACGTGCAAAACCACACCATTTTCAATTTATAGCTGCAAATAATTTGCATTTCCCCCTCCTCCTGCAGGTGTCACAGCAAGGCAGAAGAAATAAGAGACCCAGCGAACTGCTCACATGTCCCCGGAGCGCTGCCAGCTTCTCAGAAGCCGGGTTCTGCATCGCCAAAACACCACCGTGGTCACCTCTGCCCCACCAGAACGTGCCGCTTCTCCTCGCACAGCCTTTCCCTCCCCTCCCCAAGACCCGAAGAGTCTCCCCGGAGACTGCAGCCCCCTCGGCCGTGCCTTACGCTGGGTGCCCGTGGGGCTGGGGGCCGGTTCTGTGCATGGCGGCCCGAAAGGGTCAGACCTCTCGTCCGCTGTCCGGGAAGCCAAGTCTTTCAACCTGCTCTTAGGCCAAACTCCTCTTGAAACGACAGCTGAGTATGGCCCAAGAAAGGACTGCAGTGTTTAGCCCTCAGAGAAATTTTAAAAATAGCAGTGCCTCAACTAAATTAAGGGTATAAATTAAGCAGTGGCTGTACCATTACAGGTGGAAGCGTGTTAACTCCCTCTTCTCATCGCCCACTGACAATTTATATTGGACCAGGTCCAAGACTCAGATCAGACAAATGTATTTTTACTCTCAATCATTTAAAGCAAGGGAAATCGGTTACAGGGAAAAAAAAAGTAAAAAGAAAAAAAAAAAGTATGTATTTTAGTAAGCATATGGCCATATAAACAGTGTCTGGTTCTTACATGACGTTTATGTGCAATTAAGTTGAAGCACGTCGGTAGTCTTGCAGTAGTCTTCTCACATGCACAGATGCATCCATCAACTTTTGGAGAACCAGGGCCCCAGTTCCTCTTATTAAAGCAACAGAAAGAGGTTTTCCAGAATGCTCTATCGGACACATTTTCAGCTCATCCTTTAGTAAGTCTCCGGGTCTGAATGCTGTTGTCAGCTGCTTGCACTCAAAAGTCTTTGTGTTCAAGCTGCAGAATGTGTAGATTCATGTTACTTTTGCTTTAAAACTGGGAATGTGCAGTATTGTGTTTTCAAAATTCAGAGCTTTATTTCTCAAGTTTTGTAATAACATTGTATCATAGTTTTGTACATAGCTGTCCATTTAAAATTATCTATGTTTGTTGAATCTATAGTGTGATACTGTGCTGAAACATGAATCAAGTGAAGAGCTGGGTACATTTAAGAACTTTGCCTTTATATGGTAATTCACTGTGGCTAGACTAATGTTCAGGCTGAAGCTTATTTTGCTTTGCTTAATAGGACTTGTAATGTCCTTGTAATACTGAAAACTTTGCTGGACTAAGTTAGAAGTTAAACCAAGAATTAAATCACTGGTTTATTTTAACCAAAGCATTGCTATGAGCATATTGAGAATCGGTTAAAAAAAGCAAAGATGACTAGAGAGCAGACGCATGGGCACCTTCAGTTCAGCAGACCCCGCAGAGCAGCACAGCCCCATTGCAGCTGAAGTCCCGTTCCCGGCTGGCAGAAGCAGGCAGAGCCCCACGGTTTCCTGCAGAATCATGTAACCCACCCCAGGTTTGACCTGCAGGACGGTCTCTATCACATTTACAGGTTTTCCCTTTTTTTTTTTCCTCTTTTCCAGTCTCAGAGCACATCACCCAAGCATCATCCTTTTGCTCTTTAATCTAGCTTCTCTGCTCTCAGATTAGACCCCAGGCTACAAAAATCTGCGTATCAGATGTGTTTTCCCAGCAGCTTTTTGACCTCCGTGTTTCCAGCAAAAGCCTGCAGCCCAGGCTAGGAGTGAGCAGTTAGCCTCCTGCTCCCCACCCCGCTGTTATATCAATAGGAACAACATCATTTGGAGATTCAGGACTCATGAACAAACAGGCTTTCTGGGTGTTACGTAGGGAACCTTACCTGCTGATGCCCTGCAAGCTGCTCTCTTCAGATGCTGCAGCGGTTGTCCACTTGTCCACCTGGGTCTTTCAGCTACCCCCATGTCCACCTAGAGAGAGCAGCTCTCTTCACACAGCCAGAGGTTCTATTGCTCTGCGGTCTTACCTTGGCCTTCAAAGAGAGGGTGTTTGGCATTATCTTCCCACTGCCCTCAAGACTTTACAGAGAAATGGGTCATTTTGAGCCACTGCCGGTTCTTTGTTCCATGGTCATCTGTGAAAACTATATTAAATTATCTATACAATCACATCCCAATAAGCAGGCTGAAGCATAGCATTTATAATTTATTACTCCAGAGCAGCTCTGTTTCCATTACAGTGATTTTCTAAGAAGAACAGGGGAACAGAATCAGAGCAGGTCATAGAATGATGTTCAACTGGGATGTGCAGTTTTGTTGCATTTGTGACCTTGAAATAAAGCTCATGATCCTGAAGATTTTTCAGTGGTTGCAAGGCCAAATTAACTGCTGGTAAAAACATCACTTGCAGCTATTTCAAAAGGTCTGTGGTCATTGAAGCCAAAAGCGAGTTTGGACCTCAAAAAAGAATTCATGTGGTATATTACAGTGACTGCAAATGGAGTCCAGTATGTAAACCAGGCTGTGAACACCACAAGTTTCTAGCTGCCAAATCACTGCATATTCCTTAATTAAGCATTGGCTATATGATAAAAGGAAGCTATGGAAGAAATCAGCAGGAGTCTTTTCCAAGTATTTCACATCAGAATTTAGATATGTTTAATGGGATGGATTTTCAGTGGTTGGGGGGGGGTGGTTTTTTGTTTTTTTTTTATTTCAATACTGAAAATATTTCAAAGTTTAGAATAAAATAAGTACTTGACAAGTTTTCTTTCTCTTGTGGGGATGGGGAAGACCTATGATTCACCAGATTTTGTTCATCAACTTCCTGTATTTTCTACATAGTTTATAAAGCACCTAAGCATGTAATTGTTGTATATGCTTAGTAATAACTACCCATTGTTTTCTCTCAAAGAAACAGAGATGGATAAATGGAGCTATATCTAGTACATGAGCACCACCACAGTGTTGCACTGTACTTAGAGCATGGCTGAAATCTCTGTGTCCAAAATGATGCCAATATCTTTCAGTTTGAGTGTACCATTTGGTCCTCTCCTACATTCAGTAGAGCAGAGGTGGCTGAGAAATACCTTCTGTTCTGGTTAGAAAGAGAGGGGATAAATTGAAATAAAAGAAAAATGCATGAGCCCATTTCAGCAAAATTAACCAGTTTTCAGTCTGTCTAAACATAAAGCCTGGACCTACAGCTTCATATTTCTGGGGTTTTTGTACACAGTGGTCAACTGAGTAAAACATACAAGCTTACCAATGCTAAAATTCAGCATTGTACCAATCGAGCTCGGTCTATGTGGTAATAGTCACAGCCATGAAATATGGGTGAACATGTTAGTCATGGGGTTATATTCACCTAACGTATCTGAAATACAGTCGTGAACCAACTCCACCAGAACCACGTTTTGTTTGGTCACCTTACAATCAAGCTGTGGGCAGGATATGAAAAACAGCTTTGCCATGTCTAGAAGCCTGACTACAGAGGGTTTAAAACGGGGCAGTGATAGTGACGGGACCTCTCTAGGTGTTTGCAATTACTACACAGTGACAATCTTGCAGAATAACCACCTTGTTTGCAGGACTTGCAATGGCAATGCAGGTCCATAATACAGAAAAAGGTTTCTGATTCCTTTGTGTAGAGCAGGTACCAGACCTTAAATACCAGTGGAGAATTTGATCACTGCAATTTGATCACATATTCACCACCGTAAGTGTAACTCACTCTTTCATCCATTCTATGCTAGCATTTAATTCACATTAGGGACTCTCTAACACTGTCTTTGCTGTGGCATGAACAATTCTTGCAAGAACTGTGTGTGACAATTCATAGAGAGCCAGGTGTCAGTAGGAATTAGCAGGAGCTCTGGTCTTCCCTAATGGAGACTTTAAGCAGATTCCACTTACATTACTCAAAGTCAGAAGACAAGAATCACACTGTGACAGTCAGCTCCTATCAAGTCAGTTTAGATACACTCCCAGCCTGTCAAAGTAGGTTTTTTCTAGGATCAGCAGTCTTTGCTGATGACACCTACATTATGGTTACGGTTGGTTTGCCCTGCTCTGGGCATGCAGAACCTGATGTGTTTGTTTAGTACTTATGCAGCTTCATACAACATAATCTGCAATGAGTTTAGTCATGAATTGGTGACAATTAATTACCAAATCCATCAGTCAGAATAGATGCAGAAAGTCAGAGCTGCCACAGAGAGATAAGGTTTGCCCAAAGAAGAAGCAGCATAGACAAAAAGGGTAACAGATCTATGATGTGTGCCGCTGTGATCCTTTGAAACCCACAACTTGATATTGTAATCTAAACGAAACGCCTAATAGCACACAACTTCCAGGAGTGATCCTTGGAGGCCAACAGACTTTTTCTATACACTTTGCCATGTTTTGTAATCTCCATTCTTTAAGGTTTTCACAGCTCAATTAGACAAAACCATAGCTGAGCTGATCTATAGTGGTGGTGATAGTCCCCTGAAGGGGAGCTTGGACAAGACCATTTCCAGGGTCGCTCCCAACCAACATTTCTATGATTCTCTGTTCAGCAAGAACCAGATACAAGAGAAGCAGAGCAGTTCAGAAAAGATAGGAGTAGTAGGAGTCCAGAAATGCTTTCAGGTCTATATGTTAATCCTTTTTGGTGAGCCAGTATCATACACACAGAAGAATATGCCCTGAGAGTAATGACTGCATTCACCATAGTAGCAGTCTGCAAACCCATCCTGAATCACAGACAAATGGTTTGCTTTTCTAAAATACCTCCTTAATTGGAGAGACCCCAGGGAGAACAGGAGGACAGAAGGGTTTTTCTCCTTCCAGGTACGTTCAACTGCTCTACTTCACTTGTAGAGTTCTAGAGGGCAGAGGAGAGACCCTGACCTCCACAAGGCATGTTCTGTGACACATACAGCTGCCTGCAGAGGTCTGGGTGCAGACCACAGCATAACCGCATGTAGATCAAATGACAGCCAACATGGTAATCTCTTCCAAACCATGACGCATCCCAAACCTAGCAAACACCTAAAGATTAAAGCTATTATATCCTGTCATTAATCCCTTCAGCTATACAAGCCCCAATTAAAGTAACTGTCAAAATTCCTTTCCATTTTGAAGAGTTCATCCATACTTTCTACAAACCCCTCCGTTAGTCCTGCAGGCCACCTTATCCCAGCCTCCTACCTTTCACAGCCCACCGCCGTACTCTACATAGACCTTCACATGGTTCCTTGGTTGAACTGCCTCACCGCCAGAGGCAGTTCCAGAGTGAAAAGTGAGCATTTTTACTTTGTTTCCAACTGTTTCCAGCTTTTTGATATGAGAAAATGGAGGTACAGCATTAGCTGGATCTTAATGAGGGAGAGGTGGGTAACTTGCTAGATTGCAAAGACTAAACAGATTTTTGACTGCTGGAGCACTGAAATGAAATGCCAGGGACTTGGGCTACTTATTTTCTGCCACTGGCTTCCTGAGTGGCTGTGGGCAAGCCATTTCTCTGTGCCTCAGTTCCCACATCTGTAAAATGGGGACAATGGTATCCTTTGAAACACTTTGACAACTATAGATGAAAAATACCACAAAGGAAATACTGTTAGTAATAAGCAAAAAAAGAAAAAAAAAAATCTCCTCTTTTTTCTGACATCGTAACACGTGTTTGCAGCCATATTAGAGTCAAAACAAAAGGACGAGGGTAACTTCCAAAGAGTTGCTGTTCCCCTAAGACCTTTCTGAACCCAGATTGCAGAAAACCCTTGGGGACCCCTAGGAATGTATCTGAAAGGAAGAGGGTGACCCTTATAGCAACAAGATTATTTGTGCAAGAAAGGATTAAGATCTCTAATTTCTTCTACTTCTTATTCTTATCCTTGTAAGAATCATAAACATCAAGAATAAATTACACCTGTTGAAAAGTCAGCAGCGAAGAATATCACACTGGGAGCCTCCTAATGCAAGCAGGTCCCTGAATCCAAACCATAGCAAGTGTAGCCCATTTGGAGGTAACGATCAATAGCTTTGTACTAGTTAGGGACCATCTATCTGCATAATCAAGTGACTAACCCTGTCCCTGGTTGGGTTATACATCCTGTAGCTCACTTCCAGCTATTTGGTAAGCAGAACATCTTACCCTCAAAAATATCTTGCATTGCAGATATTGACTCTTGTGCTTACACTTTTGATGGTTACCTTGAGAGTGTATGGGGCACAGTTTTTAAACAACTTCCCCCTCTCCAAAAAACACTTTAGGAATAGCACGCAAGGGGAAATACCAGGTTTTCTGAAGCATTCATTGAAATCCCTGTTTCCAGCATAATAATGACCAATAAATGAACTTCCAGCTACGAAGAAAATCAAGTTTATAAAAATAACATAGCCCTATATCAGCCCATCAGCAACACTAGAAATGAAAAAATGAGAGTGCTTACATAGCCCAAGACACAGAGATAAGCTGTTTTTTGGATCTAACTTAAAAATCTACACCCTATGCCATCAAAATACAACTTCTCTTCTTAGGCTAATGAGAAGTGTGCCTATTTTTAGCGTGTCAGTAAGCAGACAGAAATGAAAGCCTGTATTGTGGCAGTCCTCAAACATCAGCAGCTTTCCCAATAAAACAAAAGGTAGAGTAGCAGAGCACTGAAAACAGCTTCACAGTTAATTGCAAGTTAATTGATTTCAACTCGATCATCAGAGTTGGACTGGTGTATTGAGTCAATCTCCGTTTTCTGCCCTGCCTAAATGGTGCTAGCCAATTACTGAGCTTTTGGAGCTTTCTGCAGTATGTTAGTCCTTATCTGGTTGCATTCAGATGTGTATGTATATGTGTATATATTTACTAGAGGTGGATTTTTGCACTTTGTAAGGAGAAATTTGATGCAGAGATTTTTTTTTAAATATACCCGCAAGCTCATTTGAACAGTATCAGCAATGTAAGTTACAGCTGCCTTGAAGTTATACCAAAGCTTTAATCTTCCTAAGAGCATGGATTTCTCTACATAGTCTCAAAAGTATAATCTTTGGAGGTACATTATTATAAGCCTATTTATCATTCAAAGCATATTAGCTGTTTCTTGTGTAGTATTGCTTGTTTATTAGGATTTTCAAAAACAAGACTTTCCTTTACACAAACCCTGTAGCAATTTAGATGAGCACTCTGATTAAAAAAAAATGAGCTTCCTAATTAATTATCTTCTACTGATTCCTCCAATAGCTTAATTAAAATAAACAAGTAGCAGAATTTTAACACGATTATTTCTAATAAGATTTTTTTTTAATCCGCTCATTTTACTCCTAATATTTCTAGCAGAAAGTGGCTTATTTCTCATTAGGCTCTTTCATAGTGCTGAATCCCTCACTTGTCCTGCTAGGGTAATTACAGACATTTGTACAAGTTTAGCACAAAGATTGTAAAGTCCTAAAGGGGATACATTAAGTTGTTTACATAAATTAAATGTAAGCCTGCTTTACCTTTGGGGAAGTGTTAGTGCTTATTTGTGCAAAAAAAATTTATGGAAACCAACAAAAAATTAATTTAAGTAAACAGCAAATACAGTTAATACTCATTTTCTATTACAGGCCTTTGGCTTAGCTATTTTAACTGTTTCCATTTTGTATGTAAATCAAGTGTTATTTTCTGGTTGATTTAACATTTAATGTTTTCAACGTAAGTCACTCCTACTAAATTAAGATTAAAAACACAGATCAAAAGTTTTATTGCTTTCTTTTGCCTTGGATCCACTGCTTCACAATTTTACTGAGGCTGTTGTAAGAGGTGGACACTATCATCAGTATGAACTGCTAGGTTTCAAAGACAAACTGTTTCAAATTATAGGATATGCTTTAGAGCTCTACTATGGACTAGAGATGCATCAATTGTAGAGTTTAATGCAGCTCCCTTAAAGAGTTTTGTCTGAGTCATTACTTAAAATTGCTGTGTCAGGAGAAAAATGGTCATTCATAAGTATTAATCTAGTCCTTTGGGAACATAAACATGGTGTATACACCAAATAAGTCTCTGATCCTGCACTAAAAATAAAAATGAAAGTACCCAGCCAGTTAACTCCATTAAAGCTGCTGATGCTACTAATGCATGTTTTGTTAAAGACTTGTATAAGGGCTAGGATGAGGGGGGTCTTTGTTTCTCTCTACACACAGTCCCTAAAAAGGCTGCATCTACTGTGTCTTTTCTGGAGGGTGATAGTTTGCTCGTTGCTCCCCATTTAGCTCGTGGTGTTTCTACAGTTGTTGATGACCATTGCTATAGAAGTTAGCTAAAGAGAGAAATCACAAAGCAACTACAGCTACCGAGATTAAGTGTCCCAGGACACTGTTCATCCACAGGAGATGTAAGTGTTTGCAAAAGAAAGGTTTTCTCAGTCAAGCAAACAAAACCAAGTCCTGAGCCAGCAAGCGTGCTACTAACTTAGGTAAGGTCCACTTCCAAGTTTAAAATTGGGCATACATACAAGATGGGCACTTCCACATAGCCTTTTGCAAGAGGCTGTGGGAGAAACTGTATAGTCTCGGGACAAATGTAAAGATTTGTCCTAGGTGAAAATTTGGTTGAAGGGCAAAATAAGACCATCTTACTCATTTTAATGCTTATCAGTCATTTCCCTGTGTGGTCACAGGTCCCTAAGCAGCTCAGCCTGAGTTCTCCTCAGCTGTAGCTTGTTTAATTTATTAGGCTATTTTGAGAGTTTCTCTCAAAATCCCCACCCTTCTGCACTCAAGGTAAGTTGTGGTAACATGGTTTCTTAGGAACAAGTGTCTGTGTCCCTGCTGTTTGAGAAGTCCCCTCTGCAGAGCACCTGTAGTAACTTCTGTAGGAGGCATCCATTTACCCCATCAAAAGAAAAATCCTACAGAATGGCTGAGCAACAAGGGGAAAAAAGCAACCAGGTAGAGATCTATTATGCTGATAGCATTTGCTTTTCCTTTCTCTGTTACAAGAAGGCAGAAGGATCAAGGGAAGTCAAAAAGGAGCCTTATGGCCAGCAGTACTGCTTTGCTCCTGACTCACACAGATTAAACCACCATGAAATGTCACTTGTAAAGCAGATCGATAGAAATATTTCTGCCATTTACCTTAATGGGAAACTGGTTTGGGTTTGCGTGGCAGGGTTTTGGTAGCAGGAGAGGGGCTGCAGGGGTGGCTCCTGTGAGAAGCTGCTAGAAGCTTCCCCGGCTCCGAGTTGGACCTACCTCTGGCCAAGGCCAATCCCATCAGCGAGGGTGGTAGCGCCTCTGGGAGAACAGTTCTAAGAAGGGGAACCTGCAGCAGCGGGAGGAGAGTGAAATGTGAGAGAAACCCCTGTGCAGATACTGAGGTCGGTGAAGGAGGAGGGGAGGAGGTGCGCCGGAGGAGGGGATGCCCCTGCGGCCCGTGGTGAGACGGCAGGCTGTCCCCCCCCAGCCCATGGAGGGGAGCGGGGGAACAGATGCCCACCTGCAGCCCGGGGAGAGGGGAGCCCATGCCGGAGCAGGGGGATGCCCCCAAGATGGCTGGGACTTCATGGAAAAGCCTGCACTGGAGCAGTGTGTGCCTGAAGGACTGCAGCCCGTGGAAGGGACCCATGCTGGAGCAGTTCATGGAGAATGTCTCCCATGAGAGGGACCCCACACTGGAGCAGGGAAGAGTGTGAGGAGCCCTCCCCCTGAGGAGGAAGGAGCGGCAGAGACAATGTCTGACAAACTGACCCCCATTCCCCGTCCCCCTGCGCCACTGAGGGGGAGAGGAGGTAGAGAAAACTGCGAGTGGAGTTTAGCTGGGAAGGAGGGAGGGGTAGGGGAAGCTGTTTTAAGATTTGGTTTTACTTCTCATTATCCTTGTTTTGATTTGATTGGTAGTAAATTAAATTGATTTTGTTTTTTCCCCAAGCTGAGTGTCTTTTGCCCCTGACCATAAGTGGTGAGTGATCCCTCCCTGTCCTTGTCTTGACCCACGAGGCTTTCAGTGTATTTTGTCCTCCTCATCCCACCGGGGGGCGGGGAGGGGGAAGGGAAGGAGTGAGTGAGCAGCTTCATGGTGCTTTGTTGCCAGCTGGGCTTAAACCACGACAGAAAGTCACTGTTATTTTTCCTTTTCTGGTAGTTAGCAGTAGCCAGCAGTTGTGAGGAATTTTGCTAATCCATGCACTTCCTTGTTGTATTGTAGAGCAGGAAAATGGGACCGGGGCAAGCCATGGAGAACGTGCTACCAAGCATGCAGTGCCCAAATCACCACAAAACAGTGTCCAGAAGATCTGTTCAAAAGGTGAACAAATGCATTCAAGTTGATATGGAATTGGAAGAGGAAAGCCCCGGTGCAGACCTGAGCCTTTCTCCAACAACTGGCCTTTCCAGGAAGGCGCAGCAGTCTCCAGGGAACACGTCACCTTCCCAGCGAGGTGTTTCCTCGCCCTCCCAAGGACGGTCTGCCATGCCACCACTACTGCCAACCCCTGCACCACTACCCTCTGGGTGTAAGGTGCCTCCTCCACCCCTCCCCGTGCCTGGCGTAAATGCCCCGTCACTCCCACCTCCCCAGCCGTGCAGTAATCCCGAGTGCAGTCATCTTACCTGTGGATACGGGAGGCAGCCCCACCCTAAGAAGATGCCGACATTGAAGATGAAGGTGTTTCACTGGCAGAAGCTCCCCTCCGACGTAGCAAGACGTACGTGCGTGTTCGTGACACCGGGGTAATCGGTTCGTTTACTTCACATCCAAACAAAAATGCTAATGTCGGGGGGGCTAGGCCTTGACTCAGTAAGTCAGGTCACACAGGTGGTCCCATTGTCCGCTCTCATCCTACAAAAAATTAGTAATCACAAATAAATATGGAAAGCCAGGCCTTCACCAATAAATGGAGGAAATAGTAGTTTGGGAAAAGCACTGAACTGAGGCTCTGTGGCTGCTAAAATTATCTTCTCTTAATCTCTTAGTCTCTATTCGTTACTTGTGAAGTGATGTTGTGAGTCTGCATTAATTAAGGTTTGCAAAATGCTCTGAGTGTGCTGAGTGGAAAGATCTGTTGAACGGTCATGCTTTGTGGTTCTTCCTAATGAACTCCTGACACATCACCAGTGTCTTCTCAGCTGAAACTTTTACCTTTTTTTTTTTTTTTTTCTTGCACAGCCAGAAGATGCATCAGCCAAGATCTGAGGCTGAAAACTCTTGTCAATATGGCTGGGCAACATGTACCCTCAGGGTAGGGTGTAGCCTCCAACTTCATTTCATAGTGACCACAGCCATGTGATTTGTGTGGGGTTTTTTTCCCGTCACACAAAATAACACTAAGGTCTATGGTTAACATGTGGCCTGCCAAAGCGGTTTGCAAGTCCTGTTCAACCTTCAGCAAGGAGACTATGAATACATTTCCATTTTTGCTGCAGCTTTTAATACTCAGTCGACACAACACAGATCTTGTAGTTGTTCTCCATTGTGCTTATCACCAAGAAAAGTGGACAGCAGGGGGTAAGAACTTGCTGCTATGATAAAATACATAAACAAGCATGTAAAAACCAGTTTGAGCCACAGTCTGCCTTCCTGGGCAGAGATACAAATTCAGATTCATCCACAATGTCTTCAGTGCCACTGTTGCAATCTCTCCTAAGGAAAAAGGTGAGATCCTTTGTTAAAGATTCCAGTGTTGTAGACAAGTTCATGTTTCAAAGTGCCATGTGTTATTCAGATGGCTCCTGATGATTCTGGTCATAATGCTGGGCTTGGGAGTCCTTATCTCTTGCAAAGAGAGATGATTACCTAATTGGATGCAACATCCCCTGTTTGGGCACCACAATTCTGCAATGTGTAGCCAGTCAGCAATAGCCAGAAGAATTTCGAGCAGCCCATTAAGTTCATCTGCTGCCTTCAGTTCGGTGAATCAAATGTGGCAGTAGTTTTCCAGGTTTGATTAGCCTTCAGGATGCTGTCTGTGGGAGCTGCCACTCTTAAATAATTAACATTTGTCCAGGACTAATGAGTGTCATATTTCATTCATCCTCTAAAGTGTTTTCCCTTCCACAAATCACACTGCCTTGAAAGTGCTCCTCTACCTTTGTGGTCCATCTTGAAGTGTTTTTCTCTTCCAGAAAGTCGCTCCATGTGGGCCATGATGCCAAACAGCAGCAGGGAGCTTGTAGAGCCTGACTACACAAGCTTGGAGCTACTTTTCTCTGTCCCGCCAACAGCACCTAAGGAGAAAATGGGGCCAAAAATAAAGAAAGCAAAAGAGGTACTTGGACTGCTTGCTTTTTGTAGAGCCTGGCAAAATTCTTGGAAGAGAAAAGCTTATTCACTCTTTACTGTTGTCAATCATTTATAACAAGAATGTTTGAAATATTTTTATAACCATTGCCTAAGATTACCTAAAAAAAGCACGGGAGAAGTGTAGAATTAAACATGTTGAAGTAACTGCTGAGGGAGAGGTCTTCATCTGAGAGGGGAAGACATGGGCATTTCAGTATTAATTCTTATAAATTGGAATATTCTAGACAAATCAATTCCCTTCTCTATGCCTTTGCCTCTCTCTTTTTAAAATAGAACTAATGACCTGTACCATTGTAATTACTCTAAGTTTGATCAATGAAGATTGTTGATAATGTTATTACCAGAGAAGAATGAATCTCACCCAACAAACAAACAAAAGCTCTAAAATTTCCATTAAAATAAAGGTAAATTTATTTCTAGCTAACTACTTTTTTTTCTTTTCACAGATCACTTTCATAGATCCAAAGAAAAGCTTCCTTCTGAGTATAGTTCTGAAGCAATTTAAGTGGTAAGATTTGGAGAGTACTGTCTGAATTACTTATTTGATGTGTCTATGTGTTTATTCAGACATTAAATGAAATAAATGTAGCAGAAATACTTTACAACTAGTATCTGTCTTTAGAAAGGAGTCAACTTCTTTTTCTTTTCTTTTTTTTTTTTAAACTAATGAGATGTGGCAGTCTCTTTCCAGACAATTAATATCATGTCTCACACTGGTATTAAACCTAAAATGGACCACTAATTCCTAAAGAGACAATATTCATAAATAACAGCAAAATCATGTGGAAACATATTTTTGTTTGGTTTTATTGACATAAATATCAACAGCTGGCAGCAACCATCAGTGAAGATTCCTGACTGGAAGTCTCGGGTTACTTAATTGATTTTAAAGACACATCTCCAAGGGTTCAGATCCAAAATTGTATATAGATTTTATTTGCAGTTTTTCTATAAATAGGAAACAGTTTCTATAATTAAATAACAGGAAATTTACCAAGCCACAGTCTTCACAGGGAGGGGAAAAAAACAAATGAAAGGGATATGTATTAGTTTTTGGCAAAATATCTTTACTCTTAGATTTCCTGAAACTATTGCAGGATGAAGATGGATGTTCTGCTGTGTCCCTGCCTTTTGTGCAATGGCCCATGTTACAAGGGCTTCGAAAAGCAACTCAGCTTAGAAGTTCCTTTGTGTTAAGAATAAATCAGAATCAGTCAGAGGGATTTTTTTTTTAAGAATATTTTATTCTTTTTCCATTGCAAACTGCTTTTCAGTGGGGAAGAGCTGTGCATAGCCTAATCCGGTTGCTGTTTCCTCTCTCTGCGTGATTCCCTGGGCAGTGGCGAAGCTCTCCTGAGAGCAGCTAGTGACCGTGGGATCAAAGAGTTGAGCCCTGCTTGCACTCGTGAGGGATGAGGCTGCTCTGCAGCCGGGTGCTGCCTCTATTGGCACTGGTGGCTGCAGGGAGCCGAGCTCTCCAGAGCCCAAACCAGAGCAGTCTGGACTCGTTTCAAAGACATGTTGTCTGCCAAAGTTTCAGGCAAGGGTTTTGGGCAAAACCTTCTGGGATCTTTATAAATACTCAGCAGGAGGAGAGCCATTGGTTTTAGCCCTGGCTTTGCTGCAAGCAGTGGAGGAATCCAAAAGTAAATCTCTTCCTAGTGACACTGGACAGCCACAGAAAAAGGAGGGCCTTCGTGGTTTGTTGCGTAAAGATGAACAAAGCTCAGAAAGCACATCTAAATTATGAGGAATATTGCTTTAGGCTTAAAAAAAAAAAAAAAAAAGCTTTGCTTTTTCATATCTCCACTGTACTTCTGAGGACTAAGATCCAAAATGTAATGGGAGCCAAGCATAGTAAGTTACTTCATTTACTCCTGTAGTGCTAGCTGAGAGGTTGGGGTGTCTTCTGTTTGTCATGTCACTCCTCCCTGTGCCATTGCTCCACAGCACTTCTCTCTTTCCTACAGCTCCAATGAAGAGATTGTTGACATGATTCAGAAAGGGGATAGATCCAAGCTGGATGCTGAGATACTGAAGCAGCTACTTAAACTGCTGCCTGAAGACCATGAGGTATTAAGTGTGTTATTCTGATGGAGTTCAGTGTGTTTTGTGCTCAGCTTTAAACACTTGCACTGCTAAAGCAAGAAGTTATGACTGGATCCCATATCCTCCTGCACCATCTCAGTCAATGAACTCCAAGGTAGAGCGGTGGGAAGTCTGCCCCAGCAACGGTCTGGCCTCCTCGCACAGACATTAGGCAACAGCACACTGGGAGACTCAGCACAGGTGCAGACTAAGTGCTGCTCTCTGTTCCCGTTTTTTTAATTAGATGGATGAAGTACATTAGCATTTGTGGACTTAGGTGAATAAAGAGCCTTTCAGAGCAGGTTGCAATGAGGAGAAAGGGAAAGGACCCATCTTTTTAAAGGGGTTGCAGGACTTCTATGCACTATAGCTTGCTGAATCCTTGCCTATGGATCAGGGATTCATCCTACAAGACGTTATACGAATGCAGATGACCTTCCAGTAAAAACAAAACCTACGCATTTGCCCTTACAAACCAGTTCATACATGGAATTTATTGTTCAGCTGCCTCAGTCCCATTGCCTGTGCTCCCAGCAAGTTCAGAAAAGCCCATTTCATACCTGTAAGAAGCTATGGGCAGCCACAATATCTGTGTGGTTATTTTACTGTTTTATTCCCTGTTAGATAAATAGCCTGAAATCTTTCAAAGAAGAAAAATCAGAACTAGCAAATGCAGATCAGTTTTATCTCCATCTCTTCGAAGTTCCTAGGTAAGCAAAATTCTTCTTGTCTTCAACCCATTAGTGTGGTTCTTATAAGATTTGTCCATAAGAATTAAGGTCTCTGTTTCCTATGCTAGAGCAATGTTCCTCATATTCAGTCTTCAGGATAAATCATCTGACTACTATTTGTAGAGCTGGTTTGAGAAACTTTTCCTTGCCAAAGGCTGAAAAGGCTTTCAGACACCTTTGGCAAACTACAGTTAAATTAACCTTGGTATGAGAAAACTCTTGACTGTTGTACAGCTACTATCTGTGTGGCATGAAGTTGCAGACTGAATCCTGTCACCAGGCTGCTGATTCACTCCAGCCCTGGCTTAGAGATTCCAGTCTACCAAAGAGTGCCCACAAAACCGTGAATGAATCACAGCAGTGCCTGTGCTTTCACCACCTCCCTCATTTTTACGAAGTCAGATGAGGTGCATGCAGAGAAGTCTTTATGCTGTTCATAAAAATATGGTGATATGTTGTAATTCATAGCAACAACTCTCCATAAATCTGATCAGTTGCCATGCCACAAACAGAAACACTTTTCTGAAAATGTCATGGTGAAAATATGCCTTTTCATTTTCTCAAACTTACAGCTAGCTTTAAAAGTACTTCAGAAAACGTTTTCATGGCTCTTCCACAACATTAATCCATGGTGAGGCATAAATATCATTAAAGGACATCAATGCAAAAATATTTCTAATTTCTGTTTGGGAAGTTGAAAGGAAGAACAAAAGTCCTGGCTAGTGTTGCCCAGGAATTATAAAAAATTATGGCCTCATGCAAGGAAGTCACTGCCAGATGTCAGTGCAACATTGCTTTCTGAAAGAGGAGATGATAATTGTTTCTAGGGCATCTTTGGAAATATCTAAGTGTTTGATTTATTTATAATCCAGTTCTCATGTCAGAGCATTAAAGAGCATGTAACAATGCTGGTACTGCACATTGCCTAAAATGGGTGATTCCCTTGCTGAACACAAGTCAATTAATCAGGCCTGTGGGGATTGTTTTTGTGGTATTTGTTGGGGTTTTTTTCCACTGACTTCTTTTAGCTACCAGTTGCGGATTGAATGTATGCTGATTTGTGAGGAAACAACGGTTCTGCTGGAGTGTCTGTGGCCAAAAGCACGAGCTATCAGGACAGCCTGTGAAAGTAAGTACATCAGTGCTGTGTCTATGCCCAGGCTCAGTCATAGGAAGCCTCTCTTCTACTTGAATAGCGTCAGTGGTAACATATGCCATAATCTAATCAAAATTAATCTTTTAATTGCTGAATATGTAGCAAATGTCAAAACGATTCTGTAGAGTCCTGCTTCCAGAATTCGTTCCGCAGAACTACGTTTTGTGCTGTCCTGCTCTGAAGTGGAGCTTCTGTTGACATGAATAACACAAACCTCTCTCCTGTCAGTGGTTCTGCAGAGACGAAGAAAATTTCCTTTATGTCAATGCCAGATTCTGTTTGAATAGAGGTTAAATTTTTGTGCACAGTGGAGATTTTTGTCCATAACAATGAATCAGTTCCAGTTTTTCATCTAGTGCACACTGGTTGCAGTCCAACTTAGCTCTGTGGTGGAGCAGGCCACAGTGACATACCAGAATCTGGTTTGGCTTCCAAAACAGATGTCCCAGATGATGTTCACCAGTGTTTCAGCAACTCCCTTCACACGAAATTAGCCTTGGTTTTAGTTTTAGCTCTTTCTTGAAGTTGATCTTGGATTCTACCAATTAGTTCAATAGTTTTAGAGAGTCATTGACCTCCTGTTGAAGAGTTAAACTGCAAAACTTTTGTTTATGTTTGCACATAAAACTTGGCTATACCTGGCTGTCTGATGTCAGTGCTATCATTACTCTTTACTGTGTTGCAATCAACAGCTCTGCAGTCCCACCCGTCCACCCTCCATCCCATTGCGTGGGTCAGCATTTCTGTTCTAGTTCTGCCAAAAACTTTATTCTTACCCCAGATTCTTCTGCTAAAATGCACAGCTTCCGGTTATCACTCCCACTAACGATGATAACAAGGCAAAAAGCCCTTTGCTTTTCTTAACCTAGAATAATTATGTGCTGGAAATGGGGGCTATAAACTTTCACTAGTTTATACACTTTCTCATATGTGGTTCTCCTTCATAAGCGGCTGCAGGGATGACACATCTATACTCCCAACTTGATGGCAAAACTAGTTTTCCATCTATTTGTAGAGAAGAGACCATAACAAAAACTTACTCATTCCACTTCCATTCAGCTGATTTATTTCTGTACTGGTATATTTCCAAATCCGTAAATATGGCTTGACACAATCTTGGATGAGAATTTTGTTACCCCCCACTGTCAAACCTAAGGAAAATCCTATTTCAGATCACTTAATTTAGTTTATTAAAAATCTCTCTCTTTTTATTCTTCAGCACTTCTTACCAGTCACCGACTGCCAGTTTTCTGCCAATTGATTCTTAAAGTTGGAAACTTTCTGAACTATGTAAGTAAACTGATTTCTTTAATTGCTCTGTTTCTAAAGATAACAGAAAATACAAATGCAAGACTTGGAAACTTGGAAGGAACTTTTTTCTGTATCTTCTAGGGGCGACACACTGGAGATGCTGGAGGTTTTAAAATTAGTGCCTTGCTCAGACTAACAGAAACAAAAGCAAACCAAAACCACATCACTCTGCTTCACCATATTTTGGAGGTACAACAAAACTGTGAAATTATTTCTGCATGCATTATTCTCAAATATTCATTCCCCAGAAACCAAGGGGCTTTGACCTCTGTAGCACCCCACTGTAGGTGTCTGGAGAGTGAGCCTCTGTGCCTGAAATACGATGAAAACTTTTCCACCGCTCTCTGTGCAGACGGGATCAAATCCATGTGCAGTAATGTTTAGAGATTTAACACTAGGTTTCCTTTCTCAAGTTTGTTTAACATATCTCCTTGCTGTTTTCTTTCTCTTCTTCTCCAACTGCTCTCTTGTGTTGACACGTCTCCCAAATGCATCTGTCAAATGAAATTAATTTTAGTGGTATGAAGACAAAATCTCAGGTCAGTTTGCGCACTGTGGCAGCACGTGGGATGTAAGCCTGAGCAGTTGAAAGAGCCTTTTGCTTTCTTTTTAACTCCCTATGGGTACCAACATGAGACAAAGAATGAACGAGACTAAATTTACCCCTACGCTTATAAGAATGAAAACTGAAGTGTTAATTTTTCAGTCCTGATGTTGTCCAGCTGAAAAACTTACATACTCTTTGACTGACTGTGCAAGGTAACCATTTTTCTCTTCAATTTTAGGAGGTCGAAAAAACCCACACAGATCTGCTGCAGCTTCCCAGGGATCTTGACTTTGTTTCCAAGGCAGCAGGGTAAGACATTATTGTTTGTTTTTGTCATGTATGAATTGCCAACCTCTTTAAAGCCAACAAGGAGCTGAGTCATTTTATGGTGGTGTAATAAGGTCACAGGACTTCTCTGCCATGGGAGAGAGAGGTTCCCTTCTAACACCAAACATTGTTAAGATTTAGAAATCAACCTGGTTAAGACTTTTTATGTGGAGCTCAGTGTGATTTTTCTTTCGGATGATCCAGTAAAACTGTGTAAATAGTGAACTACTTCATTTTGAAGGACTGGATTCTTCTTCCACCACTACTACTTTCTATTCCAATAGAACTCTTCTATTCTATTGCAATAGAAACATATCTTCCCTGAAATTTCTGTGATATTCATGTACAAGCCCATCAGGAGGTACATGTGCAGAGCTGGTGTAAGGAGGGAATGATTGGGGTGATTTACTGGCAATTGAGGGACCTCAGGAGTCCCTGAGTTGAGTATCAGCACAAGTTTCTAACGTATGTGGGTATCAAAAAAAAACCTGTTTCTGCAGACTTTCCCACATGTGCCTGAAAGGCTCATGAGTCTAACACCAGCACTTTCTGTTTAGCTGAGAAGAATCACATGGAGATATGTTGAATTACACTAATCTGAATCCATATTTATAGCAACGGCATTAACATTTTTTAATCCTGTTATGAATTAAGAGGAACCTTGCAGTGGTTTACGTTTCCTTGTAGCTACAAGCAGGGGTAACTTTTAAATCTGGAGATGGATTGACATTTAAGTAGCTGCTAAATAATTAAAAGAAAATATTTTTTATTCAGTAATGCCACAGAAAATATTATGGCTTTTGCGAGTTATATCTGTGCAGAATTTAATTTGGATGTTGTTTTGAAACATTAATTTCTTTTTAAGTTGCGTCATAATAGAAATACTTTTGTTACCTGAAACTAAATCTTGCTGGTCAATGATATAAATGTGCTCTTTTTTATAAAGTAATTGCCCTTTAGTTTAGTCAAACTTTCCAACTTACAGAATTTATTTGCTAATCAACCTGTGGAGAACTGTTTACAATGCAAATCCTGCAAAGGACTCTTCTAATGCTGCTCACATCTGGATACACTGTGAAACACCATGCCAGGTTTTGCTGATTCAGTACTTCTTGCCTGGCACAAAGAGTAGGTCAGAACCATAGAAGATGTTGTTTCGGCAGTGTAACATGTTTGGGTCTCCATGTGAGCTAAATGAACTCTGAGAAGAGATATAATTTTGGACTACAAATAGATTAGGGAGAAAAGGTAAGGAGGGAAAAGAACCAGCTAAGTAAGGACAGTATTGGCACAAGAGAGATGAGGGTGTGTTGCCTATGAATAAAAATAGGCTGGAAATTTTGGAGGAGTTTTTTGAATACTAGAACAGTGAGGTTCTTCCACAATCTACCCAGGGAGGTAGTGAGGGCAAAAGCACAGATTCTTTCTTACATGAGGGTTTGAGCACGTAGAAAAGGATTTATATAGAGAACTACCTGCAAAAGCAGGGTCTGGGTTAGAGAATTAATTCTACATTCATTTGCAGAGATGATACTGTTTATAATAATCTTTTAACTTAATGAAAACAAAACACTCACGCCTTCAATGTACTGTTCCTTTTGTGGGCCTTTCAGAATCCACTTTGATGTTATGCGGGCTGAGGCAAGTGCCAACTTGAAGAAACTGTTGGAAATAGAGAAGCGTTTATTTTTGTCAACAGACGATTTAAAAACACAGCATGCAAAATCTCTTCAAGTAGGTAATGTGGGTGTGACACATTTCCCATCCTTCTTCCTAAACACTTCAAATCTCTCCTCAAAGGCACTGTCATTCAGGTTGCAAATGGACATAGAGCTCTATGGGAAGGGTCAGGACTGCACTCCCACTGCGCCCTGGTGGAAGGAGCATCCAAGATGTTCCTCCACTTCTGTAATGTGGTATTGTGATAAGGAAACAGCTGAGGACCAGTCAGCTTTGCGTGTGGGCAAAAGAAAGGGAGGCCCTAAAAATGAAATGTAGGATGCAACTATAAATGTGTACAGAAATGTGTTTTGTCTCAGTGCTCTTTGGGGAGAAAAAGTGAACAGATTTGCAATATGCTTTTTTTTTTTCCCACATTTCCAATTTGCATATTTCCAAACCTCCTAGCTTTTTCTGTTCTCAAAACAGGGTCACTTAACTAAAGCTAAAAGGCAGAAATCCTGGTGCTGTATCTCCCTTCATCAGTCATGCCAGATTGTGCCAAATTTCCATCTGGTTGTATAGTGAAAGTGGCAACATACAATGAGCTGCTTTGGGCCAAATGAAACCAGGGAAATGCAGATGGTTCAATTAAGAAGAAAATACCACACATTGTGAACAAATCTTAACTGTCAGTTTTTTAAAAACTGACTGCTCTGTGTTAACTGGCTTGAGTGTTCTAGGTAGCTCAGAATATGCTAGTTGTTAATATGCATAAATTGTGTTGCAACCTGTGTCTCAGGGCAGTCTCGATGCTTCAAAGGACCTGCAGAAGGAGTTTGCCACCATTGAAAAGAAAAAGGAAGAACTTGCTGATTATCTTTGTGAAGACCGAAAAAAATTGTCTTTGGAAGATTTATTTAGCACAATGACAACCTTCAGAGAGCTCTTCCTCAAGGCCTTACAGGTGGTTTGCATTTGTGACTGTTTAGAAATAGATTGAGAACTTTTTTTTTTAAGCAAGCAAGAATTCCTTTTTTTTTTTCTTCTACTCCAAGCTGGGCTACCTAAACCTTGGCTGCAGAAGTAAATGAAAGTAACTGTTTATTTGCTTGCAACCTGCAGCAAGAAATGAGCATGTGGGCAAATATAAAATGTGATTTTTTTAATTATTTTTTTTTCCCTATGGAGAACTAAGAACCTCCAAGTTGTTGTTCCCACTGTAAAATTACTATTCAGGCCTCAATGCAATAGGAGCTTAGTGATGTGTGAAAGAATGAGCAACGTGACATGCTTTATAGGCTTTGCCAATAGACCAAAGGTAAATTTTCCAATAGGCAAAGCCTAATTGGGAGATATGTTTACATGTAGGTATTTCATTGTACTAGTTAGTTCAAAACAGTATGCTTTGTGTCCCCTACAAAACTACGAATCTGCCAAGAGATCATATTTGGCATTTTATTAATTTATAAGACTTCAATCATTGCAATAAGGAGTAAGAAAACAGCAACTTCACCATGAAAGTTGTGTACAGCACCTTCCAATTAGTAAGCCTCCAGCAAACCTCCATTTCACATCCCCTACTACATACTTCACACCTGAACTAATGTACTTCCTCTAGGGTTTTCTTAATGCCAGGTGAGAGTGGCTTCACTTTTATATATTTGAACAGCAATAATCCCCCACTCCTGAGCTGACTCCAGGAGAGCCCCAGACTGGATTTGCCTTCTACAAAGGGGACCATCCACATGACAAGAAGTATTGCAAGAATACAGACAACTATGCTGGGCAATGTCAAGGCAAGAGAGGCTGAAGGAGTGCTTTAGGGCACATCATAGTTTCAGAAGAAAACAAAGGAGCTTCTGAGGAAGTGTTAGAAGATGAAATATGAAAACCATATCCTGTAATATTCCCACTATCTGCTTATTCTGTGAGGCACTGGGCTTCAATTTTGCGAGCAATACAGCTACCCAGGCTCCAAAACGATGCGACAGCGCCACAGACAGTCTGGAAAATAAACCCTGTAAACCACAGATCCTATGGCAAAACACTTGATCCTTAGAGTTCCTAAAACTCTAGGAAGGAAGGAAAGAATTAAGAGGGTTGAGAACATAGTGGCTCAACATCTGTGGAGAGCTATATGAGAAAATTGCTGTGAGGGGTAAATCCAGCAACTGCAGTTCTTTTGAGAAACAGTCCCAATAAAGGTTATGTAGTATCCTAGTACAGCTGCAGAAGTTTTAAACTACTTTTTTGGGTGCTGCTTGTTCACAGCCAGGTTGGAGCAACTAGAAAGGAGCTTCTTTTTCTCCACCCAACATGTAAACTCCCTTTCATCCTATTTTTGGTTCCATTTCTCAGCAGCACCTCACCTCAGAGGTACCACAGCTGTTAGCCACATTGTATGCAACTCTGTTACCTCCATTGCAGACTTGGAATGGAATCTCCTCTCCTCTCTTGCCTTGCTTTCTCTCCCTATCGCTGTAGTAAAGATACTGTTTGTGCTTGAAACGGCAACATGCTGAAAAGTTGAAGGTTTTAATTTTTAAAGCATCTTTTTGTTCTGGGATTTTGATTTTTACACTAGAATCAGCCACATATATCATCTCTTTCCAGTGCCATTTGATGGAAGCTTTAAGGCTAAGGTGTAACTTTTACTTTGAGATGAGCCTTCTCTGTAAAGAAGGTCTCTTAGCACTACCAAAATCGTTAGTGCTATCTTTCCAATCTCACATCAAATAAGAAAAGAAATAATTTTGATAAATAGTGATCCTTTATGGCTCCTAAGCTTATGTAGAAAGATTTTGAGTTTGTTACTTCTTTGTTTAAGCAAAATCTTCCTTCATTCCCTGAGGGTTCTTTCTGGATTCATAGCCTTCAGGTAACAAAAACTGAGCCACTCAAATCAAATTACTATAATAAGAATCTGCATTCTTCCTCTCCATCTACTTGAAGAGGTGGGGGGGAAGCTTTACAAACACCCAAATAATCTCCAAAACTGACACAGTGAAAAGGAGAAGGTTTGTCACCCAGGGTTGATGACTGTTTTACCAATTCTCAAAAAATAAAAGGAGCAGATGGCAGGAGGAAGGAGACAGGGAGAAAATAGCTTCCCAGCTCAAAGATTAAAAAAAAAAAAAAAAAAAACAAAATTGGAGATACACTGAGAACTGAGTTGTAAAGTTGCGGGGAAAAGAAACACTGTGTGATTACAGAGGATTGGGAGAAACATTTGATTTCTCTTAGCACTTGCAGCTGTTCCAAGAGGGGAGCTCCCAACAAAGAGGCTGTCTAATCTCAGGAAAAGGAACAAAAATGTTAAACAAAATCTGCTCTAGGAAGTACTTGGTTGATGACAGAGGTTATACAGACAGCTCTGCACAGGGATAGCTCCTCCGAGTGCTCCCCTAGGATAACGGAGCTGGAGCAGCTGCTCCTCAGTAGGGTGCATGTGGTGTTGGAACAGGATGTACTTTAGATAGTGTGGGGATAAACAGTTGTCATGGAGCATCTTTTAATTCAAAGATCAAGCAAGTATCTAACGTCTCACAAAGTGCAAATCTAAAGTGACACCCGTCTATCGTTTAATCTCATCCATACAGCTGTGTTCAGTAATCCAGGAGATGCAGAAGGGATTGTGAATATTCATTACTCTGCCTTGCTACCACTTTGCCTTGTCTGGCTTTCTTGTGTTGAAGAAACTCTGTTAACAGTGTGTTTATGTCAAATCGATATGTATATTTTTTGTTTTAATTTCTCTGAACAATTTAGTTCAGGCTTGCTCAATCCATAAATTTATTCCTAATGTGTTTTGGTTTGTTCTCAGTACTCTGTGTGTGCTGCTCAAGTAGCAGGACAACATATCCCTGAATTCACCTCCTTTACTTCTTGTGGCATGTTACACAGAGACATTCTCCCACGGCCCACAGATCTGCAAGTCTCTCAACAGCAATAATATCTCAAAGACATTATGCTAAAACACAGCAGGAATTTATCAGGCAAGCATGTAGGAGGCATACAGTGATGAAAGGCTTTTAGCCTCTCCATAAGACTTCGCTGCCTGTACCTTGTTCTTTCAGAAGCACCCTCCTTTTCTTTCTTTGTCAACAGTACACCGTTTTTCTCTCCTTTTCTAGATATTCACTGAAGGTCCCCATAACCTTGAGCCTATAATGGTCCTATATTTCAGAGAGACTAACTCAGTGTTCTCAAGTTTTCTTTATTTGGCTGGAAATTTCTTTGGACCAAAGGATCCTATGCTTTTACTTTCCATAAAGGCTCTAAGAAACCTGTGCGTGTTTCCTGGGACTTCTTCAGCCTATCTATAGCAATCAACCAAATCTATCACTATAATGAGAAAATGTCTTTGCTGCTGCCAAACTCTCTGCAAAGGAGAGCAGCCATGTCTCATCAAGAATCCTATCTGCACCAAATCATCAACATCTTCCTGGACATTATTAAATTTTGTAATATGACACAGCAGCGCCCTTCTCTTAACATCACAAATCTCTATGACAGCAGGCCCCGTAACTACTGATCTACCTACGACATGTAGATTAGCTACTGACTGGTTGCAATCAAATGCAAGCAAGCTTCCAGGTGGTGATGGTAATGTTCTGATGATGATTGCAACTCTGGAACAAGGACTGCATAAGCTTTTAAGAAAATGGCTTTTGTCATCTTGATGTTCTGCTACAGTTATCCCAGTTGTTGAGAACTACCCTCTTCTGTCATTGTGACACTTATCAAAACCCAGAAATACTCTTCCACTGAGTAAAGGTCTTCCTTTACTAGGAGCAAGTGTTCATTTTCTTCCTCTTCCTCCATTAATCATATCATCCCGGTACCAGCAGCTCTGCGGAAACCAGAGTCCTGCCTGTGTAAATCCCAGCAGGATTTATGTCATCCTGGCAGTTGTACGACTGGTACCAACAGACATCCAGCTTGGACTCTGCCACTGAACACTAGTGCAGAAATACAGCTGGCAAATTTAATGGGTGCCTAAAGAGAAAGTGTGAATTGCTGTTTAACACAGTTGGAGAGTTCCTGAAATTTCTGGTAGAAATCCCTGAATACAAACAATATAAAATCAAGGTTGCTATGGGATAAATCTCTAGAATGCTAATTAAGTTAAACTAATGTTCTGTTTTGTGGACAAAGGGACTAATTAAGAAGAATGCATTTCAGTCCATAGTCCAACGTGGCAGTTAAAGCTAATGAAATAGTTTGCTGGTGACATCATTATATGGAAAAGTCCAAAGGGATTGACCAGGGAGCTCTGTTCTGCTATTTACCCTCAAACCCCAGCAGCTGAGAGTTTTAAGCGTGCATAGGGCATATTCAGAATAGCTACTCATTGCAAATTGAGAGTTTATTAACCAGCTTTTCCTTCAGTAACTCTTCTTATTTATTTTTTCTATTTGTTGTTCTGTCTGAATGCAGGAAAATCAAGACAGGAAGGAGCAAGCTGCAAAGTCTGAGAAAAGGAAGAAACAGCTTAAAGGAGAAGATGCAAAGAGGCTAAAAGGAGAGTATGGAAAGAGTGGTACATTAAACAAAAATTAATTCCGGTTTTATTAGCCAGTCTTTTGTTAATTAGGATGAAAATATCTGTTTAGTTGCAGCTAATCTAATACAATGAGAGTGACTTAGCCATGGATGATGTAGTTGTCAAGTAGATAGTATAGTAAGACATCAATTTTCAAGTGCATGTGAATGCTTGGAAGAAATCATGATAGGGATGTTATAAAAAATATCACTCCCAATGAGCAAGTTGCTACCATTTTGCTTAGAGGTGGGTGATACCCTGCTATTGCTCTGAATAGTTGTTTGAAGACTTTTAGGGGCATAGAAAGTTACACATACTTGAACTTCAAGCTGCGCTGTGTCACTGTAGTAGGCAAGTTGTCACGTGTTACTGTTACCTGAACGTTTGCTTTTTTCTGATTAGACGTCTGATTCCTTCAA